ACACACACACACACACACACACACACACACACACACACACACACACAGGCTACAACGCCAGCAGACTGTCTCCAGCAGCCGCGATGGAGCCGGATAGTGAAGCATTCAGAACCAGTGTGCATTAGCTGTTCATCAGTAGAGATTGTATTATTTGTAACCAGATCTCCCAATGAATACAGGTTGTAACAATTCAACTTCTATAGAATGGCATTATCAAAAGTGGAAGTTATAAGAAGCTATAAATCCAATACAGAGTAATTTGCTCACCAAGCTAATTCTTCAGGGTGGGTATATGACTTAGTGGCAAGACAAAAGGGATGAAGAGTGTTGTTATAATATTGTGGCAACTCTTCTTTTCAGTTTAATGATGGATTAATAAGAAAAAAGAGACTATGAAGCTGGCCTTTGTTAATAAAAGACAATCCTATTGAATGTCTATTTTTACCTGAGGAGAAGGTACAGCGCAGGATAATCGTCATGAGAGCTTTGTGGCTCTACGTTGTAATGCTGTCCCTGAAGAGCTATTGCAGGATGTTAGTCATGTGAGTGTGATCAAGCTGGTAAGCCCCTCTATGTTTATATCTTTAAATGATTAAGGCTTTCTAAAATACATGCATTTATCAGTTGGTGGTGTCTCAGTTTTCAGAAAGTTCTTTAACTCACGATGGTTTCTGCTTGGCCATCAAAGTTTTATCAATTGCATATATCAGAGGCTGTGTGTGTGTGTTTCTGCATGAGAGCATGTGTGCAAGACATTTAACTCAATCCTGTAACCATACACCCGTCTACAGAGCCAGAGAACGATCACATGTCATGAGTGATACATGTTGTTCAAAGGAGGCCACTTTCCCCGTCCACTCAAAATGTCGACCGACCCACAGCAAAATACAGGCCTGATATAGTCGTGTTGTCATTGTCTGTGTGTTGGTGTGCGTTTAGGCTGTTAAGTGCCGGTCTCTGTGTGTTTACCTGAGTATGATGGCTGTCCATGTGTCTGTGCAGAGAGGCGGAGCTGGTGGAGTTTAACTTGCTGTGACTCTCATCCTCCAGCGACCCTGAACACACAAAATCAAAAAGCACATTCCATTGCAAAAATAATCTGACTGAGAGTCCTCCGACACACAGACTGATGGACATCTCACCTGTTAAACACAAGCAGGAGTTAAAAAGGCTTTTCTCAAGAACTGTGACTTTCAATCTATCGGAGCATTTAAAGAACACTGTGATCAAACGTGGGGTCCTCTATTATGATATCAGTGGTCTTCTTTCCTTATTCCTCAGATCGTTTCATTGTCTCATGTAATGCACCTCCTCCCCTTCTTCAGTGACCGTGCAGTGCTTTTATTTCAGGCATCTCTAAGATGAATTTCAGTGCTTTTGTAATTATGTTGTGACATGGGCAAAAGGACAAAAGGAGAGTTAACAGCTACTTTCTTCACTCTACATGACAGTCACTTTGAACAGACATTCAACCTGGACTTGATCATTTCTTTCTTCTTGAATTATGCGCGTACATGTGCAATACGCGGGCTGTTACCGTTAGAGATCTGGTTGCCGTTCTCTACGGGGGCGGGGCTTTGGGAGTGAGGATGCGTGTGGTTGTTGGCGTTCTTGTCCTGTAGCTGCAGAGATGGCGAGGTGGGGGCAGAGCCACAATCTTCCCTCCCGGGCAGATTGATATTAGAATTGAATCCTGGGAAGAATATAGCCAAAGGACAACACACTACATGTCAGTACATGTCATATACAGTAGACGTCAGATAAAGTTTGGATTAAATCAGGCATAGTATCTGTGGGGTAAAACAAAATCCAAAACAGCACAGGGAGTCTGTTTTTAAATTGGTTTTATTGCAAACTATACACATTTTAGTATTATATTACAATTGTATAATTCAGCTAATCATGTGTTAATCTCCAGTATCTTCTCACCACTTACTCCAACTCCTCCTATCCCATCTAGAAATTTAAAAATGATTCATCTGTTCTGTCTGGCAGGAAGGTGACTCCACATGACCTGCTGCTGCTCCTCGGGGCTCACATGCTGTGACACACCGAATGACTAAAAGACTGTGGGTACATATGTGCATGGTGGAGTGTGTGAATGGGAATTCGTCAGCTGCCGTCCCAAACCGAGAATGTGTGCCTCCTGGTCCCCCCCCATGGTCACAAGATGCCTAAATATAAACTTAGCAAACTCTACTATAGGTCCCACGGGGCAGGTGTGTGTTTCTGAGGCACATAAGGCCAGGTAGAGGGATGGTTTCCATGTGAGCGTTGCATGCTTGTGAAGAGTCCAATGAGTATTTGGATTTGTACAGTAAAGACTATAATGAGGGAAAAGTTTGACTTTTATCTAATTTTGGCTAATTTGTATGTTGCTGTCGAGGCATGGGGTGTCGACAGTAATTTCCTGAAGCCTTAAGACCACCTTCCCCTGGCATTCCTGTGGTTTACCCATTCCCTAAGGATGCGGAAGGGGAGGAAGAGGAGGAGGGAGAGGCAGCTGCTCTTCACAGAGATGTCTGGGATAGCAACTGTAACCCCTGGCCACTCCCACAGCGTCAGGTATCACACTAACAGCCAACAGAAGTAGGCCATCCCCCCAAGCCCATCGGCATCCCTCTGCGCTCTGATCTAAGGGGAACGCCTTGCTTTGCTCACTCAAAATAACAGCAAGGTTGTGAACCCCAGTGCCAAGTTCACCTGTCACACACACACACACACACACACACACCGTTTCCAAGCTGTCACTCGAGTCACAGGAGTTCAGCTTCCTGCCCCTTGAACTTCTTACATTAATAGACGTATGACACACACAACTTTGTCTTCTAGAAAGTAAACAGATCCACAGTAATACGAGACTCAAGCAAGATGACTGATTATTGACAACAACACTTTCACTAGATTTTAATTGTTCAACTGTTCAGGGTGTCCTGTTTGCTGCTGCTGCTGGGCAGTGACACTGCTTTTAGTAGAACATGAATGAGCTGTTAAATATTTGATACCCATCCTCATCATTCTACTGCTCATGCATTATTAACCCAGGCACAACAAATACACTTGGAGGAAACTCAGACAAAAACACAGTGGGACAACACAGTTTGTATCTTCTCTCATATGCCTGTGCTTTCTCAAGCTGAAGTATCAATGGGAAATTCACGCTCATAAAGGCACCACAAAGTAATTTCTTTGTTTGGAACATCTGGACCTGAAGATCCACCCTTGTCATTGACTAAGCGTGACACATGTTTGGCCTCTTTTTTGCAAAGGTCAACCTGTGCATCAATGCCAGAGAGCCTGTATGTGCTCTGAATGTAAGCGCATCGAGCTACAACACACACACAAACCCAGCTAGATCATCCTCATAGTGCATTATGAGGCTAAATGGGCAACACCGGCTCGCTTCCATCTCACCTCCCGACCACTCAAACACAGAGCATGTGTGTAAACCCGCAGACACACAGACTCACACAAAACAGGGGGATATTACACACATGCTCTGTATCTCTCTCACTCTCACACACACACACACACACACACACACACACACACACACACCCCCCCAAGTTCTCCCAACAGCAAATGGACCATTGACCCATGCATGTAGATGCATTTCCTCTGCTAGTGATTTAGATGTGTGTGAGAGTGTGGGCGTGCGTGCGTGTGTGAACATTACTGACAAACCTCCATCTCGCATCTTGCGGCCAGAGGTGGACTTCCGCAGCAGGGTGCGACCTGAGCTGAACAGAGTGTTGAGCTCATCCAGGGGGCTGGTCAGGGGTCTGCCATTGGCTGGGTTGAACAGCAGGGGAGAGGAGGAGCACGAGTGTGCTCTCCGGGGCTCAGGACGTGACATCTTCACTGGGGAGTAGGGAGGTGGCTTCCCAAGTGGTTCGCCACTTGTCCTATGAGAGGATGAGGTTTTTGGGGAGTCCGAGCTCCCTGTGACAGATGCCGTTCGGGTCAGAGACAGGAAGTTAGCCTCAGGCGGGAAGGGGAAGTACGAAGGAGGTCTATAGGGAGGAGGTGGGGCATTGGGGGGAGGAGGTGGAGGTGGAGGGGTGAGAGGAGATGTGGACTTCTTCTCTGGCATGAGGACAGTGAGGCTAGGGGAGGAGTCAGCCCTCTGGCGGGCATACTGTGGGGACAAAGGGCTGTCTGGGCCAGTAGCATAGTTCAGGTTTGTCTCAAACACAGGCAGCTTCTTAACCTCTAGTGGGGTGAGGGGTGACTCGTCTGACGCGGGAGAGCAGGTGACGGGAGAGGGGGGAAACACCAGGAGAGGTGGACGGTGGGGAAGCAAGTTGGGGAAGGGAGCAGGGATGTCACAGCTGCCATCTTTGCCATGCTGAGTTTTGGGAACTCCGCTGTTGGACGTGCTCTGTGAGTAAGCGATGTCCATGGCAGCGGTCACCCCTGCTGCCAACCGTTTGGTGTCCCCGCTTTGAGAATGAGACGCCCCCAATCCTACCAGGCCCAAGCCTAGTGCCTCCAGTTTGGCTGCCTTGCTAACCACAGTGGCAGGCGCGGCGCCATCCTCGTGAGGAAAATATTTCATCTCCTCATAGACGGCCTCTGAGTCAGCCAGCTCTGGACTATCAGGGGGCTCCTGGAGACTTCGAGCCCGTGGCTGGGAGCCCAACATCTCTATGTACACTTCCTCTTCATATTGGCCCTGGTAAAGGCTCAGTCCTAACCCTTGTGGGGCATCCACAGAGGCTGCTTTCTGCAGCAAACCAGGAAACCCTCCAAATCCCCCGGCACGGGACAGCAAGGCTAGCTTTACATCGGCAGGACGCAGCTGGTGAATGTAGGGGGCAACAGCGTTGATCTCCTCATACGAGCCTGTCAGCTTAGTGTTGGGACTGCGCTTCGGTTTGGGGGGTGGCACCTTCCTCATGGCTGTGTAGTCATCACTGTGGGGACGGGGTTTGGACAAGGCTGAGGAAATTATAAAGGAAGCAATTAAATACAGAGAAAGTCAAGGCACGGAAAAGCCTCATCTGTTGCATGTTTTAAAGACCAGTCGAGGCGATTTACCTGCAGGGTCTGTTGGGGACAGCTGGGACTTAGGAGGGCTTCCAGCGGGCGAACCATACCCCTCTGGAGTGGGGCACTCTTTGGCTGCCATCGTCAACCCTGCACTAACTACTTCATAAGATGCACTCAGACGAGTGTTGGGGTCCCGCTTTGGTTTGGGGGGAGGTTGCTTCCGGGGAGAGGAAATACCTCCCCCACCTGCTGCGTCCTCATTGGTATGAGCTACCTGCTGCAGGGCTGGTTTGATGGATGGACTGGCAGAGGAATGGAGCATGCTCTCCATGGCGAGGGGGATGGGTACTGAGCTGGACCGAAAGTGGCGAATAACTCGACTGCCCCCATTGACGGGACCATCATAGACTTTTCCGCTTTTCTCCACAACCCTACAAATTGGAAGAATAACAGAATTTATAATCAAGTGGTAGAAATAGAAACATATTTGACCGTTTGTATCGCCATCACTTGTGCTGGATTCATGATTTTCCCAAAGGAAGCATAAAAGTTACAGGCACAACCTTTGTTTCCCATCCAATGGTTTTCTGATCCAGATTGAGTTAATGATGTCATTTAGATCATCAGTATGCTCAAATCCAAAGTAGGCCTGCTTCAACTGTCATGCCACAAATATGAGCTAAGGAGGCCAATTGGAGGATAAAGACCAAAGAGATTATGCATTAAATCTAATCTCCTTCCAGTGATACCATCAAGTTCAATATTTCGTTTGCTAATCTGTGTGAGCCATCTGTTGGTTCCAGGATTGCAGGCAGGGGGTGGGGGGGGCGAGTATGTGTGTAGATGATGGAGGAAGGCATTCTGAAAACCTGCAGAGAAATTAGGTGAGTTTGGGTCAATATTTTCCCCTCTAGTATGCGACAACTGTGACTCCCCTCCCAGTCCGCCTACGGACACCAGTCCTCCTGTTGGACACCTCCCTGTGCTCCTGTCTATTGTCCCAGCAGCAGATGCTACACGCGCAAGGACACATAGATGACACAGAAATCATGTGTGTGTGTATGTTTCAACCTACTAATTAAATTATATCAAAAGTATAAAAAATGTCAATATGGTGTATTTAAAAAAATGTAAATGATATGCTATAGTGAGACGTTTCCACTTTTACAGCACTTTAAAGTTGAAGTTAGCTCGAAGCAAAACACTTTTATGTGTCATTTCTTTAAATGTAGTGAACACATATTTTGTCATCTTGTCAAAACGTATTGAGACATTAACGATAGTAACCAATCATTGTCAGGCTGAGATGGAAGTCAGTATTATTAACGGTAATAATCAGCGCAAAAGGTAATGCTTCCTCTGCAGGGAAAGAAATGTGCTATTGAAATAATAAATGCATTAATTATGCATTGTGCCACAGAGCACATAACATATATCACATGTATGCAGGTTTATTAGGGCTGAAATGCACAAGTCATATTTCATGTATTACCATATACAAGTCATTTTTCAAAGAATTAGAAAAGTGAGTTTTCAAAATGAAGGTTGCTCATTTAGCAGAAGAGTTTCTTATTACTTTTTTTATTTAACCCTTTCAAACTCAGCCCTCTAGTGTTATTCTATTTGCTCCAGGCATGGTATGTTATATTCGAATGAGGTGAGGTGGAGTTAAGGGTAACACAATAAGTGCAACACAATACTAACACAATCTGACAGCGCTGCTCATTATCTCACTCTCTCTCACAAAACATACAATTAAAAGCCTACAGCCCACAGGGATACAATCATTAATAGAGACAATACGTGACGCACAGATATCGGCACACTTGTGCGGAAACACACACATAAAGCAAATGATTCCTTCATATAATAAATCCTGGGAATGACAGTAACTGCAGATTGTTGACTGAATGAATTATACTGTAGTTAGTAATAAAAGCCCTATTTCAGTGAGAATATAGTCTTGATGGGTTGCATTAGTGTGACGTAATCAGCAGAATAGTGGAAGTCTATCATCCAAACAACAGGTGAACTTTTTAATCAAATGAACATTTTGCGAGAACAGGGGCAAAATAACATCGGAAATACAAATAACAGATGGAAAAAATGAATAACCGCACATCGATATTGCTCGAATGCTCTCGCATCTTTACCTTCAGACCTGAATGAGGGCGTGTGAATTGAGGAGGTGTTTGCTAATTTACCTCCTGACAGGCTGATCCTCCTCCTTGCCCACCGGCTCGGGCCTCTCACCAAGCGGTGGGCTGTTGCCAAGGGTGTTGAGAAGGCTGTTGCCATGGCAGCGTAGGCGGTCGCTCTCTCGTGCGATGTCGGATGCATTCTGGATGACCAACTGGTCGTAGGTTCGCAGCCCCATGTCCTCTGCCCCCTGCAGGAAACGCTGCACACCGCACTCCTCTTTCTGCTGCGATGACAGCCTGTGACGGACGCGCTGTCGGGCCAGCCAGCCGCGCACCACTGAGACACGAGGAAGAGGAGGAGAGGAAGAGGAGAATCAGAGGTGTCGCGGGAAGAAACACAGATGAACCTAAAAGAGCATCATGGGTTGTTGGTTCATTATTTTGGATATTACCTTTCTGGCAGGTGATGATCTTTTTATGAAGCTGGTAGCAGCGGTCGTTCAGCTGGTCTGCCTGCCAGTACCTCAGAAAAACTTTGCTGCTGCCGATCTACACACATAACAACACAAGTCATCGTTGTTGTACTCTACACTGCCATCATCATGAGCTTCTGGGAGTCCGGCTGTCTTCTGTTGGGAATCTGACACGAGTGTGACATGCCAGCTGAGAGATGGGAGAGCATTGATGTGGCAATGATGTATGACAATAGGTGGGTGTGGAGTGTGTGTGTGTGTGGGGGGGGGGGGGGGGGTAGGGAGTTTGCATTTTGACTGCATTCACTTCCTGGATTTAGATACCAGGTGCACAGAACTGTGGGGGTGACATACTTCAACAGACGCTATGCATTCCAACGCAGGCTACTTGATGGAGCGGTTCGTGTGTGAGTGTGTCAAGCAGAAGTGCATGAAAAGATGTCTGCTGAGCATTGTGGAGGAGTGCGTATGCGTGTGTGAGGCGGGAGCTAATGTGACCTGTAGGGTCACACACTCAGACACAACAGCAGTGTGGCAGACAGGACAGAGCAGGGAGGGGAGGGGTCCATGCTGCTGCTGTGTGTGTGTGTGTGTGCGTGCGTGTGAGGAGAATGATGATGAGGTGGGACAGCTGGAGCGAGTTGTCAAAGATTCCATGGGATCTTTGAAATAAAGGGTCAGGGATTAAGTTATTTGGCAAATCTTTTGTTATTGCTGGAGACAGAAAAAGAGGCAAGACATAGACAGACACACACACACACACACACACACACACACAAACACACGCACACACAAACACACACCTGCCATCCTTGGAGTTTGGACTGTTGCAGAACTGAGCGACATCTCTCTTCTGGTGACAATTTCTTCTTGTCTCCCAAAGTTGGGACCACAAGGTCTTTATATCTGAGACACACAGATAAAAACGGAAAACGTTAGAGCTGAAATGCTAAAATTAAAAACGGAGATGGGACGTAGCATCACCTCCTGTTTTCAGAAACAATGGGTTAAAAGGTCAGTGGGGTCATACGGCAGACCAGCCAAACAGCATCTGTTCCCATTGGTGTTGCCCTAGGTAACTGTTGCTATGAATGGTCAGCTGGATGGACACGGTTCATCGGTTTATGAAGAGAATTACCAAGTTGAATGCCTGGACCACAGATTAAAAAAAAAATGAAAATGAAACATTCCCCCATTCATGAGCAGTTACTTCCTAAGCGCCCCTTTGAGACCCTTTCCACCTAGTCCAGGAAGTGTCAGAGAGTCACACAGGTCAAACTGTGAACTGCAAAGAAGAAGAAGAAGGAGAGAAAAAGGAGGAGGAAGAAGAAGAAGACTCCCTAATTTGAATGTCTTCCAGGCTCTTTCCTCACAAGATGAAAGGTAATTTCAATGAATCTATTTACTTTGTCAAAACAGCTTAGATGTCAAAATGAAATGTTTGATGAATAAATCTGTGTAATATAGTCTCTGCTTCCATTCCGCTGCTTTCATGCGTTTTTATGTTCCATCTTTAATCCTTAATGTTTTCAATTCAATTCAATTTATTTTTGTATAGTCCAAAAACACAAATTACAAATTTGCCTCAGAGGGCTTTACAATATGTACACATTTAACATCCTCTTGTCCCGGAACCCTCCCATCGGAACAGGAAAAACTCCCCCAAAAAACCCCTTTAACGGGGAGAAAAGAGGAAGAACCCTGTGGGAGAGCAACAGAGGAGGGATCCTCTCCCAGGTTGGACAGAAGTGCAACAGATGTCATGTGTAGAACAGGATAACTGAATTACAACACATTCAATGTAATTACAACGGGTACATTTAATATGCCAGGCTGAACACCCATGTGCCGTCCGCTTTGTTTACCTATTTTTACATCTCCATGCTTCCACTGGTAACGTCACATTGCTATGAACTGTGGGTAATTCCCTTGGGCAAAGTCAGCAGAAATGCAGACTTATGGAAAGGGTTCATAAAGGGCTCAAAATGTCTGCGAGAGAGACCTAAAACACTCTTTGATTTAACAGTTGGACAGCCCTAAACCCTCACGGAGCGCACCTCAAAGTATGCGAGTCTGTGTGTAGAGATTGGGATTGGGCCGAAGAAGAAAAAAGAAAAAAGGAGAAAGACAATTCAAATGGTGTAACTGGCCACAGTGTGTGTTTGTTCTGGCAAATATTATACTTATATTATATAAAAATGTCAATAGCTACCACAGAAAGTATGTTACTATACAAAATTACTAACGCAAGCTGAGATAACTGTGTAGTCACGAGACGCACAATAAACACTCTAGGGCTTTTTTACAAGCTGCTTCAAAGGATTAATCATAAAGATAGTATCGTAGAGTACTGCTGTATTACATAATGCATCTCATGCTGCTTTACTGAATCTAATAAAAAGGCATAATCAACAACAGATTTCACACAACTCCTCAGTTTATCCTTATAATTTTGTCCAGGACCTGTAGGTTAAAATGACTTGTTTATGAGGAAATGAGGGTAGCAGACACCTGATACAGGGGCAACCCACACACATCAATATTCTTAGGTATCCACACCTCTCCCTCTCTCTCTCTCTCTCTCTCTCTCTCTCTCTGATGAAATAATGACATTTTCTGAATGAAATAGGAATATCAGCTGAGTAAACAAAACCCCAAAACCCCATATCAGTTGGACCGTGCATTTTGTCAGTCGGCCCCTTCTGTTATCAATGAGACGCAGAGCGAGCTGATGATGTCACACATATATATTACAAGCAGATGGCTGGAATCATAAACCGCTTGTGTTGTCAATAGTGACTAAGTAAGTGCGCGTGAATGTGGGATGCGTTTGATTTGCAGGAGTGGGGTCTGTCTGAACTCTCCCTAACCCTTTCCGTGTATGGTAATACCAGTCCTGCAGACGGCACACACCTTCCCCCATGGCCCATCAAATTACAAAGGAACTCTGTAAACCCATGACCTCCCCTATGAGGATATGAAAACCATCGATGGTCTCTACTTTTACAAGACCCTAAGGGGCTTCATGTGGAACCAAAGAAGTGAAATAACCCCTTTGATAAGAGTTTAAATGGAAGGAGACGGGGCGTTAACGTGGTTCTCTGTGACCAACAGGCCATCAGATTACTGTTAGCGAGCATCACAAAGGTGGTACAGGCCATGCAGCTCGAATTTAAACCACTCCTCCCTGAAGCTGCTCCTTTCTGTCAGACAAATGTGTTGCCACATTCTCATATTGGCTTTTGTTTATGGATTTTTATCTCAGTGTTCAGTCTGAAATCATGGAGGTAACTCAATAATCTACAAATAAGTACGTTTATCCATCAGTGGGAGGTAATGAAGACATGGCTATAGAAATCATGACCTGTAGGATTATGGAGCTGCATTTGTGACCTGCTCTGTGAATACCGATGCCTCTTTCTCATCCACTTTGTAAGAATGAAGATCTTAGGAAAGACACAAGGTTCAAGTGGTAGTATTTGACCTTACACATTGACACGAAATAAATCCCACCACAAAACACAGTGCATCATAAAAGACAAATAAAAGCAGCAGTAAAATAGATTCCCCCATAAATCACTCTGGTTACCAGAACAATAATGTAATTTGCTTCAGGCGGCCACTATGACTTAGTGAACTGGCCTGCATGGTTCTAGTGGGCAAGTGTGTGTTTGTGTGTACACATTGGTGTGTTTGTGTTCACGAGAATATGGCAACCTCAAGATTAACGGTTGAGTTAATGTCCTGTCAGTTTGATTAGTCAAGGGCCATGGCCTGTTTTTGAAAGAGTGACAAATGGAGATAAATAAGAAACAGGACAAGACTGCAATAGTGTGTGCGCACATGAGAGAAAAAGGGCGGAGAAAAGAAGGAAAGATAAAGACTGAAAGGATGAAAGAAGTAAAATAAAAAGTATGGGCCGGGGAAGATGAAAGAAAAAGAAAAAAAAGTAAATGGCGGTTCAGAAGAGGGAGCTTGTGAGGAAATGATAAGAAATTGAGTGAGAAAGAGCTCTGTGAAGACAGCAGTGAAGTCCACCCACACTCAGCAGCAGCTCCCTCCTTGGCCTAGGCTGTGTTCATTCATTGGCCATGTCTGCGTTGAACTCGGAGAGATATGAATGGCACTTGGGCTCAGCTGACTGGTGTCTTTGTGAGTGGCAGCCACTCAAATTAAGCATGGCATTAATGTATAAACAGCAGAACGGGGACACACGTCAGACAAAGGCACACTCAAACGGTCCATTTGTATGAACACAAAACACTTGTACGCAATGCACACAAACCAGTGCTGGGCAGTAACAAAGTGCTGAATTAAGTACAACAGCGTTTACTCTTTCAGTGACAGTAGGATTACAATTTGAAATTCAGTTTCTAATCCCAGGAACGTGTTACTTAAACATTTTGAGGATTCGGCTTGTTTGCCGTTTTACCAAAAGGTGGATTTTTCGAGTAACCTGCCCAGAATGATGTAATTTTGTGCATCTTAAACATTAAACAAATGTACTGCTTTCTGGTTAAACACATACATGTGGTACTTCTACAACTCTCAAAGCTGAATTTTCTTCTCCTTCGTTCATCTTGAGTGGACTGGACAGTCTATACTACAGGTCTAATATTACTGGCCTAATAGTTTGCCTTGATTCAGATTTGGTCATAATCATTGTCTGTTCACATGGCAATACTGTATATACTGCGTTCCACATTTGGTTTGCCGATTCTCATAGATGTCGCTCAACCAACAGATTACCAATCCTGCCTCTGCAAGTCAAAAGGGTTCGTCAAAGCCACCAACCGTTGCTGTTGGCGGTCGAAGAGTTGGAATATTTGCCCATAAATGTTGACGATGGACTCGCTGACAGAGTTGAATCCACTTCTCTGTCTGTTCTGCTTTACTTCTCCAGTAATCTCTTGGATGTTGAGCATACGGAGATTGGAATGGTCTAGTTGTCAAGGCAGGAGCACGTACAGTTTGCTGGCTATAGGAGGGATACTGTCTTCACTGACTATCAAGCTAAGTGTACTAAGCATCAAGCAAAAGATCAGACCTGCCAGTGAAGTTGAGTTCTCTTGTTTACCTCCCCTGTACCCGATTTGATGCTGTCCACTAAGATCGCCCAAGTGAATCAGATGCACCAGTTTTCAGCTTTCATGGAATCTTGACGAAACTCGCTCTGCACAATCCGCACATTGACTGGACAGCTTGTAAAATGGAGGAACGGAGGCCTGTGTGTCAACTAACCGGCCTCAAGTATAAACCCGAGACCATTAATGGTGCGTTTGTTGCTCAATCACACTCTGTCAACCTGTTTAACGTTACATCTCAGTGTAATAACCTGCAGGAAGTGTTTGGAACCCACCCTACTATCACTCTGCCTGACCGACAACAGATCTGCTCCCTGGTGTTTGTTCATCTCTGCTCCCTCTCCACTCCAGAGACTCTCAGCTGCCTTAGAGATATACATCAAAGAGGCTCTCATCATGAGGTTTATGCATCCATCCACTTCACCAGCTGGAGCAAGGTTCTCCTTTCTGTGGAAAAATTCCGGTTCAAGGATATATACTGTATATATTATATCCCTGAACTGTTGCCTTCTGTTGGCTTCAGATCTTGAACAGCTCTGATGTAAATCCAAAATACTATGTTTACCAAACCTGATAAGTGTGAGTTTCATATCAGCCTCCTGCCTTTGCAGCAATGCTACACCTTTGTTTGGGTTAAAACTCAACCAGACCACTCTCAACCACTTATCTTGGAAGTGGATATGTCAGATGCAGGTACTGGAACGGTCCTGTCTCCCTGCACTTCCACCGATAATAAGCTCTATCCACATTAGAAGCAAACAAACAACCTTACCGTTACAATGCAAACGTACAACAAAAGTTGTGTGCTTTATACCCAGCCCAGCATTGGTTAGTTAGTTTCTGGCGAAAAGCTGGATGCTCAGTTATCTGCTGGTCATACCCATTGCTGCCTAAATTTATATGACACGCACACAGCTTAACAAACAGCTTTCAAAAAAACCCTCACCAGGAATCTTTCAATTACATCTTGAACAACGGGAGTGTTGGCTCTACATGGTATATCCATCAGAAACACAAAGAGGCTGGCAGATGCTTATAGACAGACAACACTGCATTCTATATTGGATTCATTTCACCATTTGACGTGGTTCTCCAGATTCTATTCCCTGTTCAGGTTTTCTCTTATGGAAATATATTATGTCTGACTTTCAATGATCTATTTCACTTGAGGTCTGTTAGACCAGATAATATTAACTGTCAGACAATGAATGCAGCACACTTCAACAACGCCTCATGGGTCATCATTTTCGCACATATTCTTCATGCTGTGAACAATTGCACATTTTTTTGTATATTTTGCACAATTCATTGTCTTTGTTCAACCACGGTGTAGCTCTATTTATTGTAACACATTTTAAAGAATCTTAATTGTAAATTTCTATTCTATATTTTGATTCTTTACTCTTGCAGTTTGTTTATTTTGACTGTTATGCACCAAAATACAGAGGACAAATTCCTCTGTATGTGAAAACCTCCATGGCAATACATTTGTTTCTTATTCAGATTTTGCACAATACTCTACAGTGCCTAATCTTTCTTTTATTATGCAAAATGAATTCAAGAACGAGGAATGTGACCAGAAACTTTTCTTAAGTAGTAAAATGCTTCAACACCTAATATGATGTATTTAATGTTAAGACAGTGATCTTGATAGCTACATATTGTGTGTGTCAATGTGTATGTGTGTGTGTGGAATGATGTGATGACATGTACAGCAGTGTAGTGGAAACTTTTTTTTTTGGGGGGGGGGGGGGGGGTCATGTGACCGGCTTTGTCCTCTCCTATTATCTGGCAGGAATGTTCATTCTGATCCCTTTATAATCAAAAAGAGTGAGAGACAGGCTGGGAGACGGTCTGTACTAGAGTGGAAGTTGATTTGTTAATCCCAGACTTCACAGAGCTAGACGACAATGAAAAGCAACAGATTCTATTAGGGACATGCAGAAAAAAAAAAAAGGCTAGTGAGATGGATTGGTGGAGCAGTTTAAGTGGGGAAGAGGGATCTACCACTTTGCAGCAAAGCCGTGAACATGGTGAAAGAGTTATGAAAAGAGGTGATGGGGAGAAATAATGACGGACATTCAAGTGTAGGGGCACGGAGACCTTACACACAACTGGCTGGTTAATGTGCGTGTGTCGGGCTGACATGGGAAACATGATAGTGGCAGTCATCAGCTGCCATAGACTCTAAAAAAGCCATTAGAGGTCATGTCGTCCTTCTAACAGCAAGGGTTGCTGTGACTTGTAAATGCTAATGTGACCATCTGCATGTGAGCGCATGATCCTGTCCAGTATATGCCCTTGCGCTTATTTGCAGATGTAGAGGAGGAATACGCTGCCAAGCTTTCTGCTTGCTTTGACCTGCTCGCCCAGTCACATATAAACTGACAGAGATCACGGTGACCTGCTGGGAGGGTAATGTATCCGCACCACTGAGATCAGTGAGAGGCAGCAGAGGAATCCGTCATCTTTAAGACCCGTCCCTTATAGACGAAGCTGAACGAGAAGAGGAGGCTGTGAAGGGAATGAATCGGCAAACGGAGCAATACGGTTACTGCACTCTTAATTAGGCAACATGCTCCGACACCCACCTGCTGAGGAAGCCCGGGAAGGACAGGCGGACAGGGTATCCATAACGGATCATGCGCACCATCTCGAGAACCCCGATGTACTGCAGCTGGGTAGACACATGGATGCTGTCAAAACTGTCTGGCTGACCACTAGCGTTGGGGCGGACACACTCCACAAAGTGAGGAGTGCAAGCCTGCAGCTTACTGATCACTTCTGACAGCGAGTTCTGAAAGAGGGAAAAAGAGAGGAGATACAGTTGAATTAGTCATCTTACAATCACAATAGAATGAGCAATATGTAGTGCTTTGATTAACAACAAAGGAAGGGCTCTGGGGCTTCTTGCTTTTGATGTTGTAACTTGATTTGCAAGATGCACCGACTGGAGTGAGATCATGTAGTGTTTGAGATAAAGCGGTCTGATTTATTTTTTTTGGGGGGTGTTTTGCCTCCGGAGGAAGCAGAAACACAAAGAGCTCTTTCGAAGGGTGTGTGTGTGAGAGAGAGTTTTTTTTCTTCAAGCCCTGAATTCACAGATGCTGCATCCAAGGTCACACAGACACACACATTTACCCACACATCCACGCAAACGCTCACATCTGTATTACTGCTGCAAACTGACGTCAGTCTGTGCTCTGCATACTCTTAGGTACAATGATCAATCAACACCTCACCCCTCCCTCATGTCTGAAAGTCACAACCAGCATTTACACATTGCTGTCCTCCCTCCGAACACGCGCATGCATACACACAAATGCGTGCGCACGGCACACAGTGGTAGTTGTTCATTGTTCATTCATTCATGTGGAGGGCTTCATGCTTGGCCTGGTACAGCATCATTCTTCAGCCCACTCTCTCCTTCCCTGAGGGACTGTCCACCACCAGCCCACAACTCTGATTGTGCAACACACTGGCTTCATTCAAGCCAAAAGGTACTGCTTCTCTGAGCCACATTTCAGCCCCTTCTGCGTCACCAGCAGACACTGAGCTACTTTCCTCTGACTGAATATTATTGTTGCTTTATATAGTTATGAAATCACAGTACCCTGCAGCGATTTTTTGAGATCAGCACTCAATTCACACAAAACCTCAAGTTTCATTAACAAATCTTTCTACTCATTTGAGATCTGAGCTGGATGCTTGTAGGTACTCGATGTAAGGAACAGGTATTCAGTAAAATAAAGACAAATTCTATTTGTATATTGACTTTTCTCAGACAGTTGAGGGTTGTATATGTACTGCAACACATGCTTGTTAAGATAATGACAAACACATGCTTGTCAAGATTCATTTTTTGTACATATTTATTTACTATTTTGCAGAAGGACTGAGAGACTTCAATGAACTCCAAAATCCATGCATTGGGCAAGAGGCACTGTCAGCTGGACGCTGGGCTATTCGGACTGACAAACACATTCACACCTATGAACAATTTAAGAGTCAAATCCTGACCTCAATGCATTTTCACTGTGGGAGGAAACTAGTGTGGGAGAAAACCCATGCAGAGAACATTCAAACTTCACAAGTGCTAACCAATTAGTCAACATGCTCCTTAATGGCTATCATGGGGAAAAAGCGCCAAACATCATGGTTTATTACTCAGAGACCTAGAATTAGGCCTGATCCTGTCCAAAAGTACAAATGTGTGTCGAGTGGTTCTTACCCTCAGCTGGACAGCCACTGTGATGGGCCCACAGCGCTCTAGCCTTTGGAGGAAGGAGCTCGAGCCTTTCTTCTTCAAGATCTGGCCACAGACAGAGATAATGAGAGAAAAACATACACGATAGATCGGCATCTTATTTCTAGAAGCTACTGAGGAATAAAGAATCAAAAAAGATCAGAAGTGTGTGATCACATGAATGTGTGTGCGTGCGTTTGCATGCTTGTGTAGTTTCTATCTGAAACAAATCCAATTTCCAGAGGTACCATGTTTGGAAGTAGCTTAGATTAGATTGTTTGTTTTTTTCAAAATGACCACTGCTGTGTGTCCATTGATTGGCACAGCAGTCAGTAGCCCTGTTGGAACAAAGACCTTGTGACTGATTGTCACTGATCGCATTTGTTTAGCTCATAAATTCCTTTATTCCATTTACTAGTTTCAAAAGCTAGTATCAATCAAGGCCTTGAACATCATTTAACGCTCGGCACTCTGGGAAAGGTGTACTGTACCTTGGTAAGGTCATAGCACCTCCGGGACTGTTGGGGGACAATGTTGGCAGTGACGAGGGAGGCTGATGGCCTCTTGTGGAGCAACAGGGCAGCTTTAGGCCCCCTCAGCCCGGCACGGCCATGGGCTGCTGGCACCAGAGAACCAGTCTGAGTCAGCTTGGACTGGAAGAGCTGCTGCAGTAAGACACTCTCACTGGCTGCCGGGCATAAATCACATACAGAGAGGGAAAAAAAAATGATGAAAAGAAGCAACAGCATTGGTGGAAACAAGGGGGTGGAGGGGAGTAAGGAAAGGTGGAATGAAGAAAAAGAAAAGGAGAAGACAGAATGATACACAGAAAGAAGGGAAGGAAGGAAGAAAGGAGGGAGGAACAATGGGAATGATGTAAACAAGGAGGGAGAGAAGAATAAGAGGAGAAGTGTGAGGAGGAGGTTTAAAGTTAGCCTTCATGTAAACAATCAGTCAGGCAACAAGAGGGGGTGGGGACCAACACGTGGAGCGGTCCACAACAACAATGAGCTCATTCAGTGAGCCAAACAACATGAACGTGGGCCTCTCTCTCTCTCTCTCTCTCTCTCTCTCTCTCCCTCCCTCCCTCCCTCCCTCCCCAAAGAAAAACAAACGAGTCCTAGACTCATTTAACTACACACAGCTCCAAGGGTAATTGTCTTTTCATTTAAAGCAATCACTGCCACCACCTGAATATAGACTTACATAGACCCCTTACCTCTCCGATTAGCTTAAGGCTTAAACTTTAAGGTGATGACATCTGTTAGAGGAAACCACGTAGTACGTATGTTAATGTGTGCGGCTGAATGACAGCGACGCATCGTCTCGGTCAGATGGGGGGAAAACAGCCAAGTGTGAGTTAAGGGCTAGCCTTTAGAAGATTAGCCTCATCATGAAAATTATAGCAATTAGGCTGCTGGATGCGAGGCTAGCCTGGCAGTCACACAACGACTGCCTGTGTCCTGCTAAGCACAACACCCCACATCTGGCACCTTCTATAGACAACATACACACAGACGGTGCTGTCTGCCACATATGGGATGAAACACACAAAAACAGCCACACTTAGACAAAGAGTGGTTCTGTGTGCTGTTAGTTTAGACAAGAGTGCATCTTTGTGATCAAGTTTGCTCTGACGCCACAATGTGGTCATACGCGTGTCATTTATTCGGTACTTACACTTCATCGTAAACAGGAGGTTCTGAGGAAGGGAGTCCTTGTTTCTTGTGAGTGATCCTGTGAGATCATATGAAATCTGGTGGAAAAAACAAAATCATACATTCACTTACACAGTGCATTGTTTTTCTTCTAAATGTTGACTATGGACAATTACCACCTCGTCCTCCACATAAACTACCGTTACATTTTTTCAGGTGTAGCCTATAAATCTAATCTCACCAGGCAATTCTTTCAAAAATAAAATTTACATAAACATGCACAACTCATTTCTTACCTGTAAGGAAACGTAATTGTTAGATAGAGTTTAGACACAACATTCAGTGTGTCTGAACTCTGTTTCTGTAATGTATATGACAGACCTGTCCGGCATAGTGGCTGACAGTGAATGCTGGGCCCTGGTCTTTGGGCGGTGGGTTTCCGTTGCCATCCTTGGTTGTGAGAGAGAGACCGCGAGTGGGATTGGAGTCCAGCTGGGTCGACAGCCTCTTGTACAGGGTCTGCTCTGCCGGCCGCAGGCTCTGGCTCTCCTCATCTAACACGCACAGCAATCCCTGAGGCTTCTGGAGGATGAACAAACAGAAGCTCAAATTATTTATGTCGGTCATGTTGACAAAGAACCATTGATAAGAGTGATAAATTACTTTCATTATGACACTTTTATTGACCCCTACAGTGTGTAAACATCTTAACCACCAGTCCTACCAGTAATAATCCAGTGTGAGTTTTATTTTTTACACAACCGGTCTTTATGTAGGTCACATTTGTGTTGTATGTATACCTTTAAATTAAACTTAAATAAAGAAAAAAGAAGAAGAATTAAAGAGCTATTAATGAGCTGAAACCGTTTCCAAATTTGAAAAACAGAAGAAAGAAAAAAAAAAAAGCAATGAAAGTGTGAATTTGATCCATGTGATTTAAGAGCTTTCGTCAAAGCTCTGGGCGAGCTTGCAATGTTGCATGACATCACGAGACACCAAACTGGACCAGACCGGTCTGAACCAGTTCGGTGTACCAGTACCTGAAGAAAGAAGTCCAGAACGGCTGGCTTGTTGCCGGGGGAGCGAGGGGTCTCCATGGCGATGCCCTCCTGCAGACACTCAGACTGCTCCTGCTGGAATAGCACCTCGGAGACGTACTGCCTCAGCCGCTCGTTGGTCATGTTCACGCACAGCTGGAATGCACACAAAACACACACATCAACCTGTAAACAAGTGCGCATGGTGTGAAATCCCTCCTCAGAGACACATAGCTGTATGTTCTAGTTTTAAAGCAAATAAATCCACAAATACAATCTGGAACACAACCTGCTGTGGCACCCAAAGGGAAGTCAACGGGGGCATAAATGAACTGACTACTCATATAAGCACATCAGACCCCAGAGCGGTTTAAAGGGGACACCACGTGCATAGTATACATAGTAATAGATGTCCCAATGTAGGGCCTTTATTCCATTCCATTATGACATGGACAGTGTTCCTGCTGGGACACATGAACTCTTCCTAACCCAGCAGGCAACCAATCACAGCACAGGAGTCAATCAAATGAGGTTTTATCTGGGGTGTGCGTGCGGAGCACTGGGGGGGAAAACTCAAGTGTGACTTGTCACATTGATGTAAAGAGAAGGAACACAGAATATGAAGTGGAACAACACAGGACAGTAGTCTGCAGCAGCAAGCCTGTTTAAACTTCTCCTGAACCCAAATGTGTCACAAAGTGGAACATAAAAAATGTCGTACAGTGTTGTAGTCTAGGAATGAACTTGTCATTCTTGTACCTCAGTGAGCCCCTGTCCCTGTTTTCAACCGGAGATCTGATGCATCTTTTCTTTGTAGTCTAACACCACCTGACACGACAGATGCCAGACCGATGGCGCCATGTGATAAGAACATGAATCTTGTAGGTTAGGTAATAATGACTGGCTCACAAATAAAGTGAAAATGAAAATAATCATGTTGTATTCAGTGCTCAAGTAAAGCCTTGCAGCCCTTAGCTTTGGGGTAATGTATCTTTACTAGATTTCACAAAAGCAAATTAATATTTGGGGGAAAGAAAGTGCAAGAATAAATAAACAGGCTTTAGTTTCTCTCTTTGGGCACTGTCATGCGTCTCAATCGGAACAATCACAACATGATCCACATTTTGTCTCACGGCACGCTGATTGAGAAGTGCTGATCTAGAGGTGTGTTGTGCCGCGGGGGCCGTGGTCCTGTTTTCTTTCATCAGTGTTCGTCTATTCTTTGTCTTCAAGCTGGTCTAGTACATTAAAGGCTTTGTCCCAGCAGGTGGTTGATTGAGTTAGCTCATTAGCAAAGTGCTGAGCAGGTACAACACACCCCTGACAAACACAGCTCTAATTAACAAGCCCTAATGACCCCGATCATGCTGCGCATGTGGAGCCTGCCCGTTACAAGTCTGCGTGTGTGTGTACAAACATGTCAGAGTGCGAGTGCTTGTTTGTCACTGAAGTGTCACATCTACTGTAAGAGATCATCGAGTTTGTTTCTCCAGACCTTGCTTCTCCTCTGCTTCCTCTGGTGTGGGTGGCGGGTAATGTGTGTGATTTGAACAGGCCGATATAAAAAAATCAAAAAAAATCAAAAAAAAAAATCAGCATCAACAATGGAGAAGATGTCTGGGAGAAAGAGGTGGGCAATTCCACCGCCTGCCAGAGACAGTGTCTCTTTGCTTCTCCCGTTTTTCGTTAGCCTCCTCCCCTCTCTTCCCTTCTGGCACTTGCACTCTCCGTGACCCGAAGAGGATAGGCCACGCAATACCTCACTTCCACTTAGCTTAGAGAATATCCAAGGGAAGACTAAGACCACTGACATCTCAGTGACACACGCATACACACACACGAAAACCAACACATGCATGTAAGCAAAGACAAACACATACTGGCCTTAATAAAGACTGGGAGGATATTGGGAGTTCCTGAGGGAAAGAACGTAAGCTCTGAGTAGAAGGAATAAGCACTTAGTCTCTTGTGCCTTATGAACAACCTAACACACTACACACTACACACTCTGTGTGTGTGTGTGTGTGTGTGTGTGTGTGTGTGTGTGTGTGTGTGGTGATATACAGACTTGTGTTGGGATCTGACTATATGGCTTCGACATGTGCTGTGGAACAAAGAGAGTCAGGCCTTCACTTTTGCAAGCGAAGGTTTCATCCTGATTGTAGTTTGAGCACCAAACCCCCCAACTTTGAAGAAATTCACATTAGGGTGTGAGTTTCCTCCCCCCAAATGCAACACTGCTCTCATTGGACGAGAGCAGGGATGCCGAGGCGAGACCTCCGGTAAGACGACCCTGCTCCCCCAAAAAACTATGCTTCCCTGAAGTTACCTGAAAGCAGCGCTGCAATCTAATTGGCCGAGGGCCAAGACACCCCAGGACCCATGTGGTTCAGCCACTGTTCTACAAAACTACCTGCAACCCCCACCTCAATGCTTTTCCCATCGATCCCTCTGGGGTAGCAGGAGGCACACGTGCAACGTTGTTCCCCTCTTTAATCAAAACCTAGGTTTAACAGTTTATATTCGCTGGCTGAATTCACCAAACTGTCTATTTTATCTTTGTTCGTATCCACGAAGCGAACCCCTTTATTCTTGCAGAAGTGAAGAAGCAAGACTTCTTCAGAAAGAGAGATAGAGAACTTCCACTCTCCACCAAGCGCCTCGTTTGCTCCGGCCATAAGGACGCGAAAATCCCTTATCCAGACGACAGCGATTCTCTCCTACCGAGAGAACACCTCCCGCGGCCCGCAGCCGCGCTGCCTGGGCCCAACGAAGCTCAGAAGAACCCCCCAGAAGAACCCCCCCGAAGAACCCCCCCTCAATCACCACGATTGCATCGTACCGTAAGGCGAAATAGAGTCTGGGCAGAGTTACAGAGAGTTCATTTGTGTTTATTTTATCTTGTTTGTGTGCTTAAAGTACTGTTCATTTTTATAACGTGGCGTAATCGCCGACACTAACGGTCGCTGAGATCGTTGGGGTTGTGGAGAAGCTAGTGTATTTCATGCTACCGTGATCTGTGTTGAGCTAGTCGCCTAGTGAGGTCGAAGTTGCTTCTCATCGGTTCAGGAGGTCAGAACCGCCGGCTGAGACAAAGAGTCGCGGTTCTTGCTCCCCTGGCTGAGAGAGCAATCTTCCGTACTCCCGCGCGGCGCAGAGGATCTTAATCTCTTGTTTTATTTCATTTTGTTCCTTTCCCTTCTCTTTTACCAACACACACACACACACACACAGCTTTGAGCTAATGTAGCTACGTGCTAAACAGCTACCGGCACATGTAGACGCCGGGTCTCCTGTTGGCTATCCGCCATTTTGAGTCTCACGCATGAGAGAGGTTACCACGTCCCAACTACGTCATACGTCGCTGAGCTGTTCCCTCGCTCCTCCCCCTACGTGCGCGCACACACGCGCACGCACGCACGCACGCGCACACACACACACACACCCTCTTTTCAATCTTCTGTTGATTTTAGATGGCGTGCTCATGAATGTATAGTTGTTGTTAGTTTAAATATTAGTTGACTAGATCATTGGTATTAGAACGTAATAAACTCTTATATTTTAAAGAGCAGCTGTCTGTGATTACTTTGTGCATGTGTATTGTGATGATAGCTGTATATGTGGTCTGTGCTCGAACTTAAACCTTCACTTTCACTCTGAATGTGTAATAGTACTCAGACTGCTGACATTGTGAGTGAACACTAATTATGAGACTTAGTTCATCGTTTGGTTATTGGTCCCTGTTCGCAGGGTGGTGCCCCGTTATTATTAATAATCAATAATTGTTACTGACATTAATAATTCTATTGATGTCAAGAATTTAGTTTCTTAGATGCTGATAACCCAAACACGCTCCTTTACGTTCCCAATATATTGCTGATGACCCGTGTCAGGCTATGTTATTCCCAACACTTGCCTGCTTGTCTTAGAATGTTCTAGTCTATTAACAGTGAGTGCTTGATGAGCAGATGACAGATTTACAGCCCAGAACAGGTGAGCTGCACATGTTGTACTCTGTATACTATGCAATGTAATCACACACACTGACATAACGAAAACAACCAAGCATTGCAGACACGCATATCCATTTGTGTAAAGTAAAGTAAAGGACAGAGAGAAAGAGAGAAAGAAAGAAAGTCGAGATTCCTATTCTTTATAAATGAAATCAAAAAATGGAGTCCTGTTTGTTAAAAATGTAATTGCTTCTCCATCTCTAAATATACTACTTGGTGTAGCTTCTCTTAGAAAAAGGAGCTTTTTTTCTTTTGCTATTTTCAGGCTCCCACTGTTGTGCACTGAGCTCTAATACAACATGAATTTACAGCCAGACTGCTGATCATCAAACATAACAGGCAAATTAGCTTACTTTATGACCACAACACTTGACAAAGAATTTCTTTACTATGAAATAATTTCTGTAATTTTGGTTGTTGCTCGTATTTATTTATTTTTTTTCAATGACGCGGACAATGCCGCCAAATGTGACAAATGTTTTTGTTTTCTTTGCAGAAAAACAGTTGGGACCAACTTCATTGAAACAAGATTTGGTTCTTAAAAAAGAATCAATGATTTGCATCGTGACCCCAAAAATATACTAAATCATATGTGTAAAAATAAGATTCACACACACACACACACACATTGAAGCAGCTCATTGCCCTGACATCTCACACACAGAGGAGCCCTTGTGTCAGCCCTCAGTTCATTTAAGGACAGCTGAAAATCACGCCACAGACCTCATCTCATTCATTACAATTACAGACCAAAATGTCTAAAATAGATAACCGTCAAATATTTTCACAATTTGATTAAGATCTGTTTGAAACTACAAAACCACACACTATTCAACAAGATTTCGTTAGCTCAGGGCGGCCTTCTAAGCCAATGATGTTAATCAGGGAGTGTTATGAATGCATTTGGAGAACTTGATTCGGAGAAGAAATGTGTTGGCATGAGGGGAAGAGGGACACAACATTGATGCCTATCTTTGGGGCTGACTGAAATCTAATAAAAGTAGGCATTGTCCCACCTGCTCAAATCCATTCCTCTGAACTTCTTCAAACCCAAAGATGTCCAAGATCCCAATTTCCAAGGCAGGATCACTAGAAGAAATGAACGGATAAGAGAGCAAATGTATTACACGTATGACCACTTCAACTCCAGGATCAACGTGAGGACTTGTTTGCTTGCTTGCGTCACTCTGACAGGAATTATCTGGTTTGTGTGTGTGTGTGTGTGTGTGTGTGCAATAACACATCTGAAGAGGGTGTGCCAGTAGTGAGTAGTGTGGTTGACATATCAATTATGTTGTGTAGTTGGTGTGTAAACAACGCAAAGCACAAACACATTCCAGAAGATGGAGCACCAGTTATCCGACAGCGTGTGATAAGACCTCACAACATCAACACAACCAAGGATCCATTGGCCTCGATCTAAGAGAGTGTGTGCGTGTGTGTGTGTCTGTTTGTTTAAGTTGCTGTTTGCAAAACCTTCACAGAAACCTTGGGTGTGTCCTCCACCTTGTTGTTCAGTATTTTTCATTTCAGTGTGCATGCCTATGCAATGTAAACTATTACAAACCTTCACTCTAAACTATGTGTCCGTCACAATAATCAGTGTTGTCACTCCAGAGGCCCTGAATGAGAGACGGCGCTTGTGTGATTACAGACACTTTACATTGGAGCCGTTTGTTATCAACAGCCTGGGCGTTCAAAGAAATGACTTGGCCGGTAAACACTGGGGGGGGAAAAAAGCAACCTGTGAGCATAAACACGGACACACACAAACACACAGCTATACCCAATGCTGTCGTCTTGTCCCTGTAGGTAGTCGTTGGTACTGTTGACCAGATAGCTGAAGAGACGTCCATAGATGGCCTTCGCAAGCTGGTCTCTGTACTGCTCTGACATCTCCACTGTGTGGCCCCTAGTGATCACGTCACCTGACACAAAAGGGACATGGCAACACAATTCCTTGATGATCGTGTTGATAGCACAGTGATGGAACAATATCTGTAAGGTTCATTTTTGGTTTTATGTCCCAATGTTTTGTTTTCTGTGGCAAGACGACACTGATTAATGCGTTTTACATGTAGTCGTCCTGCGACTAAAGACATGCTGCTCGTTGGAATTTAAAAGATGTACAGTATTTATAACTTTAACAGTGCTGAGGTTATTCCAGTACAAGTCTCATACATGTCTTTGCCGTAAAGATCAATATAAAAGATGAATCCGATGATAATCATAGTGACGGACTGTCACTGCTTATGCATGTGGAATAGGGAGGGCCAAGTGACGGCGGAGGCTGGTGAGTGGATACCTTTGAAGTACTGGACGTCGGAGGTGAGGGCGGTGCTTAAGTCATTGGAGCACACCTGCAACAATCCAGCAACTGTGCAGAGGAAGACCGGAAGAGGACGAGAGACAAAGAAGCCGTCAGAATAACTGACAGTGACGAGATGACTGGATGAAAAACATCAAAACAACAGCATTAATCATAAACAATGAGGATAGGTCAGAAAGGTAGCTCTGATGACTTCCAGCTCTTCCCTACTCTGATGACAACATCACGCTGCCAGCGCAACAAGCTGAGCCCCGCTTCAGATCATTCCAACCTAATCGATCAGTAGAGCTGGCAGCAGTTAGTCACCAGTGGATTTCTGAGCAGAACCCATAAACAAGCAGCAGAAACAGGTGACAACAACCCGATGACATCACATCTCCCTGACAACGACCGGCTCTTTCCCGCTCAGGCGCTGATGTCATTTGTTTACCACCTCACTAAGGTCGGGGGTCACAGGAGCAAATGTAGCGGTTGCATAATGAGGGAGATAGAAAGAGAAAAAAAGAGACACCGATAGCGGGTTTAAGAGGGATCTCTCCTCACCGTGGTTACTGTTTACAAGATAATGCGGCTTACCAAGCAGGTGACTGTCTGGCCTTTAGCTCGTGCTGGCAAGCTGCCAAGCAGAACTCCAAGAGACAGAGAAAGGGAAGGGCGATGACGACGAGGTAAACACGATGTGTGATGCACCGCCTCCTTCCTGCCCCACCCCACCTCCACACAGGGTGGAAATGTGACCCCGGTCATGTGACGGAGGGCACTGACCTCTCTCAAGCAGCTGGAGGTCAGAAGGGAAGGCTGTGTCGGCATCCGTCAATGCAGTAAAACGTAGGTCCCCAATATGGAGCACAGCAGATAGCAGCATAAACACTGAGTCAACCTCCTGGCAGAGAGAGAGAGAAAAGAGTGGGGAGTTAGAGAGCAAACATATGAACTACTAGAAGTTCGAAATTAGTAAAAACAATCAAAAACAGGAATTTCTCCTTTTCCACTGCTTAAGTCCAACATGCACTACATGAAATGCTGAGGAAAGTTGTTCTAAATGATCCTAAACTCAACCTTGGGACTGGCGATATACTACATTCATCTTAAAGTTTACAAATGCTTTGAAAAATAAAGAAACACAAAAATAGAAAATCCAAGGCTTTTTAACAACGCATCAACCCTCCTCCTCCCTTCAGTCACACACTTATTTCGCTCCGTCCCACTCCCCGTTCCTCTCTGCCCTTGAGTAGAGGACGCTTAATGGAATACCCCATTACCCACTGCTCTGAATCTCTGAGAGGGGGAAGCTCGAGTTTGAGGGTGTGTGCTTGTGTGTCTGTGTCTGCGTGTGCACTCTCTCAAGGCAGGATATTGGAGCTGATATCTGGGAGATAAACACAAGCATTAGTCTCTGTCTGACACTCTATACACAGACAGACTCCCCCTGCTTAGAAAGGGAGAAGAAAGGGAGCGAGGGCACAAGGGAGAGAAAAGGAACGATAGGGAGCGTTAATGACGATTGACCTTTGGGGTCTGGACTGGGAGTCTTATGCTGATTAGACTTAGACAGAGACCAATGGGTGGTCTATCACTTCCAGTCTTACCCCCCCGTTCCTTCTTTGGTCCCTTGGACTCTCTCTCTTATCCAGTAGACACTAGTGCCCTCTGATATAAGCCTATCTATCGCTCTCCCCCCCCCCCCCCGTCCTTAAGGCCATCCCTGCGTGTATTGACTGCTGCTGGATTAAAAGGTGAGATGGTGGTCACTCACTGCTGACAGGGAATTTAAGAATAGAATCTGATAATGGGCTGGGAACACAGCTGGTGGTGCACAGGACGGGCTGTACCACACACTGTAGCACACTACATGCACTCAGCAGGCCTAAATCAATGTCTTCATATGATCTTTAGATAGAAAACAGAAAATGAGTCCCAATCCTAAGAGATCAAAACATCTAGGCCGAATATGTCGTTAGAAACGGATTACGACCGCCTCATTTCAAATACGTCTTGTGCCTGAAGTGGGAGGATATACCGTTGTGTCCTTTGCATCACTCAGTCTCCCGCAATCCATTATGCAGTGGTCAATTGTTTAATGGAGCATGGACAATCGTCTTCGACTTGAAAATTACTTTTGACCGTGACAGTATTTACCAGGTATTACTGGGATGACATTCTGCTCATATATTTAGAAGTATTTGACTTTTCAAATCGAAACAAAATCCCACAGAATGGGTCAGTAGTTCTGCTATCTTTGAGGTTAGGGACGCATTCCTTTGGAGGATCCAGCCCCTGGGCTCAAACTTACAGACTCAAAACCTGGGGTGAAATGTCATTGATGACCTCATACGTGGCTACTTCAGGGTCTGTAACATAAACACTTTGAACGATCCCCGCTGTCGATAACCTTTGAATAGACAGGGACAATAACAGAAGCCGTATGCAGTGCCGATCGATACCTGCTTGTTAAAGCCCAGGGCTCGCAGGGCTTGTTTGATTGCTGCGAGGCATTCCCGGCTCTGGGCAGAGGATGTAGCTACTGGAGGGTTCTCCCCTAGAAGTCCTCCACTGAGATACCTGGAGTAAGGACATAAACATTGGACAATGTGGACAGATATATTTCAGACAACCACAAAAACAAAATGCTCACAAAGGACAAAGTGTGTCCCATGGTCAGTGTGCAGGTGCATTGGTTCCAAACATGTGTGCATATCTGTGGATGACAGAGACCTAGATCCAAAAGATTTATGAGGTAGTTTTGTGCAATGCTACATACAGTTCCCGTCATGCAGAGAGCTCCGTTTGGAAGGGAGGAGAAATATCAAACAGGGTTGTAAATCACCAATGGGTTGGTGTGATGCAAGAGGGGCAAGCGTACCTCTCAGGTTCCAAATCAGAGCGAATCAGGCCAGTAGTTATCACGCTGGTGACATTCAGTGGATATATAAACATTTAAACAGTGGATATAATATAGATACGACAGCTGACAGACACTAACCTATGAGCCAGGACATTCTTGAGGTAAAGTGCGCTGTTCTCCTCAGGCGACAGGCCTTCAGCCATCAAATAGAAGATGTTGAAGCTGCGTTGGCGAGGAGGTAGGTGGACCAGGCGAGACTTCTCCAGCATGTGGGTGTACACACGGGCTTAAACATCAGATTTGTTTAATACGTCAATAACACATGTGTACATTACATTTCATCAGATGATAGTAGTAGTGCTGAACATTCAGTGGGTGCTCACTGGTCAAATGAACTGGGGTAAAATAAGGTAAACATGACTTTAAATGAAGGCGCACACATTGAAGCAGACTCATGGGCCTTTACTGCCCCCTGCTGGTGTTCACTATTGAGCACCTGATCCCATAGCAAGTCATCACACAGTAGTTCTGTGCCTCTATTATGGTTTATGTTATCATCTCTGTACTATCATCATAAAGTAGTGGTCCAGACTTTGAAAACAATGATTATTTTCTCACTTATTTTGGCAAAAATATTTGATTTAATTAAATAATAAAGAATACGAATGTATGGAATCATATAAGGAAACATGTTACGTCAAGTATAGCTAAATCAAACCTGAATATAGACATTTTGAAGAATTAAGTACAATGTCTTATCAGCATTTCATTCTACTCTTGTCTCTAATGGGAAATACAAACAATACCATCAATCAGTTTCCATTGAGAGAAATGTGTGTTACCTCTGAGCAGTGTCCTCCTCTTGTCACAGTATTGGATGGTCAACAACTTGATAAAGCGGCTTGAGTTGTTGTTCCTCAGAGTCTTTGCATGACCGAAGGCCTCCAGAATGCAGTTAACCTGCATATTTTGTTAAACCAGAGGAAAAATGTTAACAGCGAGTGTGAAAATCCTCACTGCAGAGTGTGTCTGCCTTTTTATTTTACACAAAGTATCTCTCTTTATCTCAACACCTGAATCAAAAAATTCCACTTCCCGCCACAAGATGTCAATATGCACCCGTTACACGGGAACCAAGTGTTGTATGTGTCCTAGGATGATCAGAGAGAGAGCTGACCCAGATATCGACTACATAACGATGACTTCATCAGAAACACGTCACTTGCAATCTCTGGCTACACGCTGCTTTGTTACCCGACAGATAGACTGAGGAGAGCAGTGCATCGTGTGTTAAACACCACGAACATGTCACAATCTGAACCACATCTACACAACGGGGAATACACGAAGAGGCAGTAATGCAAGATTTTTCTTTCTTGTTCATATACAAGACAAGGGATGATACTAAACTCTGACCTTAATTCCGACCTTAAATGCCTTGTAAAAAATATTATTAATAATAATTTGTTAGTATATGTTTTTATACGATTGTAGCCTCTCTTGATCTACTGGAAGATGTGCCATGAAGCGGATATGGGTATTTGGCATCCTATTGTACTCTATCATTTTTCTGAATCAATAGTCCTTCATTAGGCTGTAAAGTTTAAGACAAATGGACTGCCCCCTCAGAATAACGGCCAAATGATTCTCTCCGCTGCAAATGGTTCTGTTCTTAAGAAACGGTATGGTAAGAGATAAAGTCATCTTAATGGAAATCTTGATGATGCAATCAAACACAGGGTCTGAATGCTCAGATGCTGTCTTTGACAAATGAACAGCTATCAAGCAGAGAAGAAAAAGACTACCAGTAAAGCCCCATACTGTGTCCAATAATCCATACATCTATCCTCTCCTCCAGCACAGAGACAAGAAGAACAGCAGGATACATTTACACCGCTATGACCACTGTCTCACTACAATGTGTGCCATCTGATTCTTTATCAGAGATGACATGCGAGAGGGAACAATAAGCGCAGTAAAGACTTGCGCACAGGGTGAAAGGATGTACGATTCAGTCAGTGCCTCGCTTTGAAGAACACACGAATGTCATGAGTTTCTCGATGAGGACCGATTGTGCAGAGAATTCAATTTGAACGTATTCATAACGTTATTTTTCTATCCTTTTTGCAAATTCAAAATAAAGACACAAGAACATGAGAGCAACAAAGGATTCAAGACTCATGCCCAGGACAGTGCGGTTACATATATTTTAGCCATTTAAGCCTCCAGGACACCCGGTGACTGTTTGAAGTGTAAAATGAAAGAGTATCAGGACCAGACTTACATGTTTCATTCTGGGCTCCAGTGCAAAGCCTTTGGGGCTGGAGCGGGCTGTCAGGTGTCTCACTATGTGCTTACAGGCCTCTGTTTTCCCAGAACCACTTTCACCACTAGAGAGACAGAAAACAAAAATATGCTGATTTAATGTCCTTCAGTGATGCTATTATTGTTAATGCATCACTGGATAATGGGCAAGTCAAAAAGAATGAAATTAAAAGCAAACATATCAGTACAAAAATCAAGCATCTGTGTGTGTTACCATTCTCAGAAGAATAGACGTAATGCATTCGTCATCAGGGAGTTTCCCACATCTGTCACCTCGGTTCCATGTCCCCACCTCCTGACATCACCCCTTCAGGAACCCCCACCCATCAAAATCACAATCTCTCCCTTCTGTCTGACTCAACTAACGTTGGTCCATTGTTCCCCACCTTCCACACGCCGTTACAGCCACAGCTTATCCGGCAGTGGGAGCCTGTTTTTAATCAAATTAATTAATTAATGGCGTTGAGTGGATATTAAATCTGACATAAGGTACCTCTACAGTACATGCTCCGACACTCAGCGACATGCAGAGAGTTGAGACAGGCATAGTAGCACCAAGCAGATGGCTTCAGAAGGTCAGAAGCCCTCACTAATGACCGCAGTGTGCTGTGCCGCGCTGTTTGTCTCTGTGTATGTATGTGTGTTACTAGATTTCCTACTTACAGCCCTGCTGAGTGCAAAGTCCAAAGCCCTTTCCCCTGCCTATTTCATTTAGGACTTTTTATTAGATTTCAAGGGCATTTTGTTAGAGCACTGGCCTCGGGGGATGATGGCCTCCAATTGCCTGTAAATGTGTAGGTGTGTGTATATGTGAGGAAATAAAGAGGAATCGTGAACGAACAGCAAAGTGTAAATCAAAGAGAAACAAGAAAAGGGAGGAATAAAGTGTAGCAGGGAAAGAATGAAGGGAAAAGGTGTGTGTACATGACAAGGCATTGTACAATGTCCTAGCACGTGGGAGTGAGATGGATAGCCTGTGGCCAGGGCACATTAACTCTCTGCCAGATTGGTTACCACTCAGCGGGAATGTCACTGCAGAGCGGGATTTAATTGCAATCAGGGAGCTGCCTCCGTCCAGCCGAGGACGAAGAGCAAGATGCTACAACGCTCCAAGCAAACCTCCGTCTCTGCGTGGATATTGAACAGGTCCTCAGCTCAGGCTGAGAGCTATTAATCCCTCAGGGAGTGTTTAACAGGTATGTGGCAGTGAGGGGTGTGGCCGGCTGAACGTCACTAGAATTTGCACAGTTATTTCGCTCTGTTGAGATTTTTGTCTCATAATCGCGAGGCAGAGAGTTCAGTGTTTGTGAGAGTGTGTGTGTTTGTGTGTGTGTGTTGAGGGAGGCCCGTGTACCTCAAAATGAAACACTGCGGGCGTCTCTCCTGCAGCATCATGTGGTAAGCTCTCTCTGCTGAGGAGAAGATGTGAGGTGGCAGAGAGGAGCACAGGCGACCCGTGGAGCTCATGTACAGCTGACTCACCTGTGGGAGAAAGACAGGTAGAGTCCGCCAACACATTGGATTACAACCTCATGTAACATGGACACACGCATGGGCTGAGCAACACAGAGGATAAAGTGTTAGCTGAAAAGTGAAACCACGCTGGGTGTAACCTCTCCATGCATAGAGTTTGAGTAAATAAGGAAGCCAGCAAATCATCAGCTGTCTGGTTAAAATAAATAAAATACCATTTCAGCTTATCGGAATACTGCGATTGTCTGAACAACTGTTGGTTTAAAAAGTTACACTCTGGAGACCCACACTTTTAAATAAGCATGAGCACTTTGAACAATTAGACTCAACTATGGCCGGAAAATGTTGACATGGCTGTAATCCACTGAGGCGTTTGGAGAATGTTACTCCTGCTCTTCAAACTCTTTTAAGGAGGTTCTGTTCTGGGTTTAGTTTTACAAAAATATATATGCTTGTAAAACACTTGATTTAAAGTGATTAAGTGCAAACCTGACTTTTGCACTGAAACCTATAACAGCAACTATAGTTTAAATGTTGCACAATGTATGCCTAAGAAAGACAGACAGGGTACCCTCCATTGTCTGTCACACTGAACGGTTATATGACTGTACCGTCGCACCCTCTTTCTGTAACAAGTCCAGAAGATGTGTGCCAGCACTGCATTGGTGTCTGTGGAAAAGGAAAGGCGGATGGATGGTGGACCACCAGACCGGAGGGGGTGACAGACGGGCAGCAGATCACACATGTTGGGACATATGTCCTTCTCTAACTGGCTCCTCCCTGCTCGTCCACACATCCTCTCAGTCGAGTGTGGACGCCTGGAGTGAATCCAGACACGGGCGGGAACGGGACAGCCAGAGGGGGCTTGGCTTGTTCTGTGATGGCAGGAGAAGATGTCTCCCCCTCCATCCAACCCCTCCTGGGTCCACATGGGCAAGCGCTAAGCTGGCGTTAATTCAGCTTTTCAAAATGAGTTATCCACTGCTATAAAGAAGGCGACGCACACTGTTGCTGATTGATATCACAAGGTCAAACTAATTATAATGCTGTTTAAAAACATCAAAGACTGTCAGTCCTTCACTGAGAGTCTCCTTTAGCTGTTGCAAATGCTGCTTTTCACCCCTAGAGATAGTGTTTTTAAAAATGTATTCTTTAAAGCGGTGAGGTAGCATAATAAAGTCCGTCTTTGTGTGTGTGTGCTAAACTGGATACTTCTCTTCCCTTGCTGATGCAGAGTCAGCCTTGTGCTGTGTATCATTGACAGGAAGACTGCATTATTTATCAACCACAAGGTCCATTTCATCCGTTCACGTCCTGCTTATTATACGGCAAACATGCCTCCTTTATTATGCTTTTGCATAAGAAACGCATAGCCTTTCAAATGTAAAGCCACATGTTTAATGCGTGGATCGTGGCACATAGACCTGCAAATTAAATATTAAGAGAGAAAGTGCGGCATATAATGGAAGCCTTTGTGAGATAGAGGTAATTTAAAATACCTGCTTACCAAAGTGGAGTAGATGGGCAGCTCTTTGTTTGGATTGACCAGCAGGAGGATGTGTCCAATGTAAGTCTACAAAAGAGAAGAAAGAAAACGCACCCGACTGCTCTATTACTCGTGAATCTAACTGTAAGACAATTACTATTTGGGTGTTAGGTTGACCGTTTTGACCTGCAAACAGGCTGAAGCTGGTTTACAATTCCTGAAGGTAACACTGAACTGAAAATAAAAGTGCTGTCCCAGTCTTCTTTTCACATCAGAATTCATGGCAGCGACAATCTCCATTACCATAAGAATATGGTAATCTCAGGGCAGAGAAAGGCCAAGAAGGGACCTCCGACGATAACTTCAGCAATAACCTTTGTCCTCCCACGCCGCGGACACACAAACCCTGAGGCCAATTAGATCAAATTAACCAACTCTTGATTCCTGACCCTTTCCACTAAACTGCCAGCCCTCCGTTTCTCACAAAGAGCCCCGGAGGATGTTTGAAAGCCAACGCTCTGTCCCCCGGGAGAACGCAGACATTGCTAACATTCAGTAACATGCTGCTCTGTCCTTAGGCCCTGACTCAAGGTTAATGACTTGAACAAATTCCCACTGCCTGCAGACACAGAGCAGAATTCACACTACCAGTCTAGCTTTTTTTTTCTCTACGGAGTAAAACTTCAATATTAACTGGGGAAGGCTGCATTTTTGACAGGGATGTCACAAGATGAAACAACAGTGTCTTCAGTCATATCCTTCCCCAGTTCCTTGCTGCTCTCCTCGGGGGTTTTAACGGTGCACCGGTCCTTCTATATTGGCAGAAGGCAGCAGACCACTCCTTCAAAGCCCCATCTCTGACCACCCTGCTGGGAACATATGGAGCATTCGCCGCCTTTGTCCTCTCCCTCTTTCTGTCCTTCATCACATCTCTGCTTTGTTCACCTCTTTCTTGAAATGCCCTCAATCATGTGCATAAAGTCACACCTTAAGTATAAAAAGAAGGTGGTGAAGGAATGTATTCATTTGGCAACACTAAAAGAGTACATTGTTCATTTCCAAGCACTTTCAGAGAAGATGGAGACTATGTTGAAAACTTCATCTTTACATATAGGCTTTATTTATGTATATTTTTGCTATAAACAGAATGGAGCATAACTCATGACTGTAGCATGTGCATCTCCATGGCAGAGTAGTTATACACAATCAGATCAGCTGCTCCTACATCCCCATGATAGCCTCACTTTGTCCTTTCTTTTAACCTTTTCTTCTTCCAAATTGGACTGCACCTCAAGTCCGGCCCTCATTATTCTGAATTCTTATCATTTCTCTCTTCTTCATCCACCACTCTGCTGCGCTTTATTGTCATCCCCCTTATCGGTCGTCCCCTGCTGTGGCTAACCCTACTGTCTGTCGCCCATCTGCGATTCCATAATAACAGATTATTACTGCTTCTTCACAGAGAGGAGAGTGCACCGGATAGCTTCACATTGATTTGGTTCCAGTCTTTATAGAGCTCGGCCCCCATGGAGAAGTATGGGCCAGACTACAGTTAGAAAAGGAAGGAAGATGACAGGACTATAAAATGGAACAATTGTTTGAGATTAAGGCACTTTACTCCTGAATATAGTTTTGGATTTATCTTCCAATCGATCTAAATGGTATCGATTTTGCAATTGTCACCAGTGTAAGTACGTGTGCGTGTGCATGTGCGTGTGTGTTAGAATTAGACACCCCTCTTACAAGTCAACAGGCCAAAACAGAGAGGGGAAGGGATTCAGCTAATAAACACAAAAGGGTTTACATACTAACAAGATTCAACTATATTCAGACAAATAACTATTCACCACCAATCGTTGGCTGTAAAAGTAGTCAGGGGTCAGAGGTCACAAATCTAAATATGATCTGCACAATAGTGTTCAGGAGAGAAGGTACAGTATTTGCAATGCACTCTTTATACTTCAGACACATATGCCGGAGGGAAACCCACTGCGGTGCTCATGGGTATAAAGATGGTGTGATGTGATATAAACATCACACTCTGAAATTCCCAGACCGTAAACAACACAACGCTCCACTAGAAATGAACAACTGAGTTATGCCTGAGAGCGAGAGTGTGTGTGTGTGTGTTTGTATTTGTCTCTGTTATGTGTGTGCTTTGTGTTTTCATGCATGTTTAATGCTGAGTTAGACTTCCTGGTTCAGTGGCACAATGACAGCAGGGTCTTACATAGATTTGGTCATTTCCGAAGCGCTTCTGCATCTCGTAGAGCAGGCTGCTGTCGGTCAGCTCACTGAGGGATGCCAGGTCGTCATTGGGAGCAGGAGGCATCAGCTTGACCTGAGGAAAGCGCAAGCTGAGAGTAAACACCAACAGGCTGCCACTAAGTTGGAGTGTTAACTTAACTGGGACAGTGTTCTCCAGTTAAGATCCTCTGAGGCCTAAAGATATTGCAGCACTTTGTTCCAATCAAGTTCATCACCAATTTATTTCCTCTGTTTTCCAACATTACATCTGAGAAGTACTACAATGCACATCATTGTAGACATCTATAGCACATATTGTTTAACTAGCACATACTTGATTACTTCTCAATCACCATTGCTGAAGTAAATTTATCGGATTCCCACCTCTTTGTCTATTTAGATACTTCTATGAAACACCAGAGCTATTACAGACTGTGTGATGCTCCAGATAAAAAGTGAGCCTGATAAAGCAGATGTGAAATGCTATGCCTGAAATGTTTACAAAAACAAGTTTAATTTGAAATAGATAAAAACTTGGGGGCATTTGTGATTATCTGCGTTCTCACTGCCGAGCTGTAGGACGACACGGTACCTGCTCCAGTTTGCTGGCTCCAGAGCTAAAGGGGCCATCTAGGCCATTGTCCTGTGAGGGCTGTCGGCTCAGTGCTCCACCTGCATCTCTAAACATGGCGTACTTCTCCAGCAGACTGTCCCGCTTAGAGATGGAGAGACCCAGGGGGTTCCTGTGTGATAGGTGGACAGGCAAGGTGTTGGAAAAGGCACAGAAGGTAAATGGATGGGAAGCAGATTTGAGAAAAATGTAGGAAGGGGGACAGTATTTACAATTTATGGAGTAACCATAAGATAACAATTGTGCTCATGAAACTGTTAACCCACAAGTTCTTGACAGGAGTGTTGAGGTCGTGAGAACCGCCATCATAGCGTTGGTCAGTGGCGGGTAGAGGAGCGGAGGGGTCCTTTAGTCTCTGCAGCCAGCTCTCCTCTGCATTCAGCAGCATGCTCGCTATGGGCTCCGACACGGAAATGTCTGGTGAAAGTGAAAATAGTTTTTTTTCACCATTCTGTTATATCAATAACAGAATAGCAACAGAATATTGGTAATATTGTGGGCCAAAGACCATAATCCTCTGCACTCTAAAACAACCAGGTACGCCTTTCTGTTCACTGGTCTCTCACCCTCCTTCACAATCCGAGTGGATGAATCTGCACTGGTGCACAATGTGAACCCCACTGTGGATCATCCAACTGTGCTTAAGAGGAAGGGGGAGATAAGATCCCCCATCTGTAATGAGGTGTAACAGGGCACGAGGGAAGGGGAATGGCTTCATCCTGTCTTCATTTGTGTCTGACTGACAACCCCCTAGACTCCCATCTCTTGCTCCGGCTTTCTTTCGTCACGTGGAGGAGGGATGTGGGGCTTCGAGTGAGAAAGAGGGGGATTGTCTCAGTCTCGGAGGGCTTGTCTCACATCTTTTCCAAACCTGCATGCTAGAAGGAGCTATTGATTAAGGCCCGAGTGAGGCAATCAGAGTTGTGATGAAGCCATGGGAGTAAATGGTTGGAGGCAGCTATGGTATTCTATCCCACAATGGGGAGGAACCCGAAGCCTCTTCTATATGACAGATTTCATCACTATCACGCTTCACAATGACTACACTGCATTCATCAGCAGCCTGGTTCAGTGAATGGTCTTACAACAGATCTGTTCAGTTTTAAGATGCAAAGTTCAACCCTTGCTGCTGCATCGCGTGCGCGCGCCTGTGTGTGTGGAAGGGGAATTTAGAAGATTGTTTGGGATCATCAGCCAATTACAGCTTTCACTCCAACATTGATATAATTTATGTTTAAAGCCAATGTTTCTCTTCGAAATGCATTGTGTGCATCTTTGCGCGCCTTACAAATGTGCTGGATGCCGTTCCTTTCTCATTTGACATACACGCCTGGCTAGCAAATTGTTGAGATGTTTCCAGTCTGTTTAAAAGGTGTTTCATTCGTTTATCATCTTCTTCTTCTTCTTCATGTGTTATGGCCTGCATGTACAACAAGTTGCATTACCGCCCTCTGTAACTGGCAGGAATGTGAGCATATTCCTGCGTCCTCGTGCAGCAGAACACGACATTAGGGCTGATATAGGACTTATCTGCCTACACAAAACGTTTAATTCTACCGTTTAACAGCCTACATGATTTCTACACAGCAAATGAAAGGATTTAGATTCATAGTTCAGTCACATGAACCTAGCACAGCTTAACGGCAGATTACACAGGACGGTTGTTGCCTGACTTCGCTAACATTCTACCCCGAAGCTGAGAGCGTTGGAGCAGCGAGCTGCGTCGAGCCACCCTCACCTTCTATCATCATTCTCTTTGGCTTTGTAGTCAGAGCAAAACACTGCTCCACAGCATCAACGGTTCATTTCATTTAAGACTGGGTGATTTTACGGGGGTCTAGAATTAAAATAACATCGTAAGAGTGGATATCATTTTTCAGATGGCAGCTGTATCAATCTGCGATTTGCAACAAGTTATTTAAATCAATAATCACCAATTAAGTCTTCTCTTAACTGTAGTGTTTACCAGTCAAAAGGGAATCCTCATAGACAGACATCCACACAACTTGCCCCACATTGAATCAGTCCTAATAGTCTTTAGCAGATCTCCTCTGTTTATCTTGTAAGCTTCAATTAAGAAAACATTAAAAAAAATGAGTAGATGCCTCTTGATAATGATATGATACCTTTATGCCAATTAGCAAATGAATCACTCAAGCCTCTTGATTACTGCTAACACCCCATTTTAATCAATGCATGTGTGTATGGGCATGAGTAAGGTGTTAATGTTTTCTTTCATTAAAAAATTAGCCCTCTCTCTCGCAGATGCACTCAGATAGGCTCAGCGGTGACTGAACCTCATTCACTGTGTATACCGAGTGTGTGTTTATGAGCCTGTGTTTTATATTATCACTGTGATTATTAATGCATTTGCAGCAGAATAAGTCAAAATCCATTTCTCCGCCTCATTAACTCTTGATTTCTAAAAACACGTTTGCACATTCCAGCAGCAGCGTTTGTGTGTGTGTGTGTGTGTGTGTACGTGCGTATTTGTGTGAATGCCTACATGCGTTACCTGAGGACTTGTCTTGGTTGCAGTTCAACAGAGTCGGGTTTGCTCTGTGCCTCAGGAGCTGGCTAACGATGCTCGTCTGTAAGAGACGGGAGAAACACCCACATATCCATTTTCATTAGATCCTCAGAAAAGAATCCAACATTTCTAGGGCACCATTAACTGCAGCAACTTCCAAACCATCAGTGCAAGAACAAACAAAAAAACATCTCAAAGCAGATTTTTTCATCAGGTCACAGGAGATGTTCCCACATTTGCCGCTACCGTGTAGATGTATAGATGTAAATGTAGATATAGTGTTACACAGTCCTGGAATGTGAACACTGATAGAAACAATGTATGCATGTCACACATGACAGATCTATACAAGCGTTGCCTCTGACTGAGGAGATCCTTTGGTAATAAGTGTATCTTCCATCACATGTCACAGTGGAACAACCCCATAGTTGTCGACACTCATTTTCGCACACAGTGACATGTGATGGCTGTCGCCTCTGTCCTCTATTGTTCTGTGGAGGTTTTTCTATTTGTCCAAGCCGTCGGGCTCTCGGTCAGACTTGTTCTCCTTTCCCTCTTACTGCCCCTTTCATCTTCGTTTTGCATTCTCGTTGTCAACACCCCTCTTCTACTCTGTATCAGCTGTAAAGAATCCAAGATGTGTGCTGCACTATGTGATCTGTGAATACTATGCGACTTCCACCCACCCTCCTCTCTACGTAGACTTTAATTAAAAACATATTTGTGAACTTATTAGTGAAACATAATTTAGGCCGCACTACCGCATTTAGCTGCAATGCAACAAGCAGAGTTTAAAGACTGAGCATGTCTGGAAGATTTCCATTAAATTCAGGACACCTAAAACATATTTCTGCTATTCACTTGTGCATAGAGAATATTAAACAGCAAGAAACCACATTATCATGCTTGGGCAAAGTTAACTCAGCTGGTAGAACTAACTGCAAACTATTGTTACCGATTCTCAACAGTTTAAGGAGCGTTCCAAAGCAGCAGAACTTCTTTGCACTAAAGCGCAGTAAGAGGCATCACCTGCAGTACGGAAGAGAGTGACTCAGCACATTCAGCGGACTCAGACGAACGTCAACAGCTGTTCGGCTATGAGTCTATAGCATCTCTTCTGCCCACAAACCCTGTCAGCTACACTCACACCCTATAAATATGGACAACGCGTCAGTGGCACCACAAGATCTTAACTCTTTAAATCGGTCAGGGGGGGGATCAGGAAAAGGTCAGCACATTGGGTTCCACGGGGACAGACCAACCTCGTAGCTGATGCATATTCAGATAGACAAAAGGTTTTTGTAAAGGCTCAGATTTCCTTTTAAAAATACTTGTCAGATCTAAAAAATGATCTTGAGAGCATGAAACGTGTTCAGGTGGTTGCTATATTGCCACAGCTTTCATATTGACCTTCATTATAAAAACTGAATTAATTAATCCAACCCCAGTAGGGCTCTACTTTAACATCCTGCCATTTTTGTTTGAAAATCCACACACTATTAAAAATCCTTCCCATAAGAGAACACATCTTGAAGAGCCTAGACTCAAATCAAAGACGCCAAGAGCCAGGGTCTAACTTATCACAAGGCTGAGAGAGGGAGGCTTAATTAGCTGCAGTAATAGGGTCATGCATCTTCTTAAAGGGTCAGTGTAGTGGGTATGCCACGCTGCAGATGGGGGTCTTTGGGTTTAACGTTCCAGCTTGTGTTACAGTTACCAGCAAGTGTTTCCAGGCAACGGTTTGCTTCTGCCTCATATCAGCGAAGCCTCTTCTTGGTGGGACCAGTGATTTAGTCGGCTGTATGCAGACACACATCTTGAACCCATAATATCCCGACTGCTGACATGTCACTGTCAGTAAAAAGGGAATGGTGTGTTCAGAAAGGCTCAGGGAGTCGTTGGTATGCAGGAGGCAAAGCACTGGCACCAGTAAAGAGCCGATGGCTGAGGTGATGTAGCACTGCAAGGGAAACTAATCGATTCTCCAATCCTCTAGAATGCCACTCTCAAGTCAGATGCACTTACATATCACGCACGCACGCGCACACCCACAGAGAGTAATTGCTTATGCAGAAAGTCATAAAAACAAAGAGACAAAAAGGAGGTTATTATTCCATTTAGAAGATTGCTATCTGGAAGACTTGCACATTTTGATGCAGTGATTAACAAAATTAATAATTTAAACCAACAACAACAACAAGAAGAATTGTATAAGAGGAAAGACAGAAAACAAAGGCAGCAACTCTGAATGAATGAATGAAACAGAGAAAGGCTGCGAGGTGACAAAAAACACGTCTTCAGGGTAGATGAACCAAAGTAGTAGACAGCGACTATAAATACCGGATGAATAATTTTACTTTCTCAGCAGCCCAAGCACACAGCACAGACATGTAATTAAATATCCAGTTAGGTCAGCAAGATCTGAACGTGTTCACTTCCCTTCCTTCATAGTTGGACCCCTCCCAAACCACCAGATCTCATCATCGCGCCAACAACTCTCCTCCGCCCCATCTGGAAATCAATCTCTTTTGCTCTAAGAGAGGCCATTAAACTGCTAATCTAAAATGCTGTAACAAATGCATGTGCAGTAGTGCTCTGTGGCAGCAGTTTGACTGTTCCTAATCAATAGGCCCCAAAAAAAGAGCAGCTTATCAGAGTGTGTGCAGGGTAACTGGAGGCTACTTCCTCAGAGGAAGCACTCATCCATCAGTAACTTCCTCGTTATTTCATTCACTCAATTAATGACTATAATCACATCAGATCAATGCAGCTGGATGAGTAGAAATTAAGGGGACTACTTCATCAACGTCAATGTGACATTTTGTTAAGCAGCTGGGAGTTACCTGTCCATATTTAGCAGCCAGGTGGAGAGGGGTCCAGAAGTTGTTGTCGGCTGGATGAGGGTCCGCTCCACTCTCCAACAACACAGACACCACCTCTCTATAACCACTGGCACATGCTATGTGGAGCTTCAGAGAGAGAGAGAGAGAGAGAGAGAAAGAGAGAAAGAGAGAAAGAGAGAAAGAGATGCAGTTATGACAGCGAAGAAAGAAGACGCTACAGCATCTAATAAAAACAGAGGTGAAGGAAGAGGACAAACCATGACCAGGGGGAAAAGAGCGGTCAACGCGCACACACACTAACACATGTGACCGTACTTACCAGTGTGACCCCGTCATCATTGGGCTGGTTGAGGCTTCCCCCTGTGGCTACAAGCTGTCTGACATCAGAGAGCATGGTGCTACGTCTCTGCATCTTCATGGCGTGCATGGATGACACATCCACACCTAAAAACACACAAACACAATTGAGATCCACATATTACGCTAAGTATTTAGTTGTTATGCTTTAAGAAGCAGTTTGACATTTTGGAGACGTTCTATGGCACTTATGTATATCTGTGCATTCAAATTAAAGCTGGAGTCTTGGCTCTGTCTAAAGGAAATTGGCCTACACCTCTAATTAACGCTAAAAACAAAAGCGAAAAAATGATCACTTGCTGTTTTACGGGGCGTTACGTGCTGGAATATTTCTTGGCCGGGAGCAGTGACTTCCTGGTCTCAATCGTCTTATTTTAACTCTCAGCAAGTCGATCTGATCCTTTAAACCTTATACTTAAGATTCAGTTGTTTGAAGCAAACTAGTTGGTTTACAGAGTTCTCCAACATGTAGGGACGAGTTACATTCAAGTACACGTTTTGTATTTAAAGATTCCCCAGTTTTAGCAGAACTAAATCTCTCAACAGGATTTGGCGTGAGTTCAGCACGGTGCTCTCCGATTCCACTACAACCACAGTATGTAATTTAAGGGAGGCTGTGTGTGCTGCACTGGCAGGGAAAACGCCCTCAAACTGACAGCGCACTAAAACCGAAGCCTGGCAAATCAAGTGATGACCAAAAGTGATCCTGATGTTGAAACTTCAATAAAAAAATGTCAGAGGACATCCAATACTCGTAAAGAACAAGGCTACTGTAGCCGCCTCTTTGGCTGACACAGCAAAACAGCCATCTACAAGGGCATCTATCCCAAACTATGAAGATCAATGCACGGCTCCACAATCACAATCACACACACACACACACACACACACAGAACAGCTGACTGGTTGCCGCAATAGCGTGGATTGATTATCAATCGATCTATATTCCACTCTGATAAGCTTTAGAGAACTAACTAATGGGACTTCTCCAGGTAGACTGGTTGGATTAGCTAATCAATAAGTTTGTCTTTGCAAACAAATGAGAGCCAAAGGGTGTGTAGCTTTTTGAGACGTGCTCAGAGGAACATTACCATAACAGAAGAGAATTAATATCCTCTACAGTGCCAATACTTGGAGGAATCCAGTAGAACATGAAAAATAAATGACTCGGCTGCGACAATGAGAAAAAAAAAAAAAAAAACTGAATTCCTATTTCTCTCTGATGTAGAGACACATGGACAGTCTGTCTGTCTGTCTGTCTCTCTCCAACAAACCTGATGGACATAGAGAGAGCGTACAGCCAAGTTGCTATAGCAACAGAGTGAGCCTGTGTGAGTAAGAGTGTGTTTCATGGCCCAGCGTGATGAGTGAGGGAGGGAGGGAGGGGGGGGAGGTATCTGGGGGGTACACAGGAGGGAGAGATCTCCATGGGGGCTGGCAGACAGAAGCAGAGAAAAGTCTCAAAATATTCCGTGGCTGGGGAGTCAGAGAGTCAGCCTGTGTGTGTGTGTGTGTGTGTGTGTCTTTGATGAGTTAGCTGTCTGCACTCAGAATCTTGAGTTTGTCATATGAACTCCAGGCCAATGGCAGGCAGACGGATGAGGGAAGACCCTCCGTCATTGTCTATATCTGTTTCTGTCTAGCTTTGTCAGCATGATTCCCGTCGCCCTTTCTCTGCGCGTCTCTCTGTATTTTCTCTGCCACTGTTCCCTGCCTCTCCCGCTGTCACTCAGAAATGTGCCTCCAACTCTATTGTGCCTTTATCTCTGTTATTCACAGCACCTGTGCTGACCTTCTCCGTTCTCTGTGGGAGACAAGTGCCCAAATCACAATCCACCATCATTAGGCCTGTGGGTGTACCACACACACTCACTCACTCACTCACACACTCACACACACACACACACACACACACACTTCCACTTTAACTGCTGGTATGACATATTAACCATTCACACTATCCCTATAATTCCTAAATGAAGAAAATGAAACATTTACCGTTGTGCTTAATTGTTTTCTTTCTGAAAGTCTGTGATAACATGGACTTGAGCCACTGTATTTCTTTGAATCACACTTGTAATGGAGCTCATGATAAATCAAATGTCAATGTTGCCTCCCTGTCTTTCTCTCACTGAGCAACGCAGAAACAAATGAGAGGTGCGCAGAGCTTTACCATTTTCCTCCAGGTGTTTTCGGAGGATATAGCTGGTCTCTGTCCCCTCGGAGGCGTAGTCCAGAGGAATGCTGCCGTTGACGTCCTGCAGCAGAACATTCACCCCAGTCTTCCACACGCAGAGCGGGAGAAAGCAGAGAAGACAGAAGAAAAAGAGTTTCAGCCGGGGCAATTCATCAGACTTGAAATCGACGATGAAGCGGGCACAATTATGGAGGCTTCCCTGAGGCGTATACCTGAGCAGAACCATGGAGACATTAACAGACAATACAGTGAATTAAAGAACTCATTAAATAACTGCCTGGGGGGGGGCGGGGGTGGCAGTGAATAGCGAGGGCGTTGGTTACTGGTACCTGGGTTCATAGGGGTGAAGCGTGAAGCATGAGATAACATGGAAGGCCTTCCCTCGGGCTCCTTTAATGACCGTACTCTGACAGCGCAGTCGTTGGTCACAATATGGCTACGATTAATTGCTCCTCTCTGGAGGAACTCCACGGTACTTATTATTCGTGAAAATGCTTCACCAGTAAAGCAGAAATGTGTACAAGCCATGCAAAATGTACTCAGGTGGACTTTCCTTCTGTCCATTTCAGTTTTTATTTCCCCTCTTTGGGGTTGGGTACTAAAAGTAACACACATCCTTTCAAGAGGAAATTGTCAGCATCCAGCCATAAATCGCGTCCCGTTGTTTGACTTAACCGTAAAAGACAAGCGGGTGTAACGATCGTAGCTGGACCAGGTCTGATAACGGGGACAGGGGACTCTAAGTGAGGATCCTTATTGAATATTTACAGCTAATAGAATTCTAACGGCAGAGTTGAAGTGCGGCAAAGAGATTCATGACCCGGTCCTTAGGTAGACAGAGAGGGAAGGGGTGGGGAAAGAGAAAAATGGGAGGAAGAGGGCTGGAAATGCGAGGAGGGAGCCGGCTGACAGAGCTACACAAGAACGGTTAACCTTAGCGCTCTGAAACCCGAGCAGCAAGACCACAAGGACACGGAGCCATCAGTGCAACCTTGCAGTTATTAATTGATTCATAAACAGACAAAGTATTTTTTTTTCCTTCAATAATGAAAAAACGTTTTGAAGATATTCAAAGGAAACGATTTCATTCAAGAAAGGCGGAGTAATTACAGTGCGATAAAGGCAGCACAGCGCTGTCAACTCCGGTTATCAGAGGATATGTTCTGGTGAGCGTTGCAGTTTCTTTGTGCGCCCATCTGTGTCGTCTAGTGGGAGCTGTTTTTCGCTCACTTATGAGGGTTAGTTAGGGTTTAACAAAGGGAATTAATTAACATTAATAACCATCAGCTGCTGCTTGGTGACTATTCATGAGACAACAAGAAACCTTATCACGATGTGAAGCACAGCTTGAAGAGCAAATGATGAGATGAGTGTGTCAGAGAGAGTGCATATACTATTCGGCCCCCCACACACACACACACACACACACACTCCACCTCCCCCCCCCCCCCACCATCCTTCCCTTACACTCTATTGTCAAACATGGCCTACTCCATCAATATTCCTCCAATTTGTGCTTTGCTCCCAAACGGTAATCAACTTCCTCATAAACCAGACAGCTCCACTCAGGGTGCCTCTGTTAACATGCCAGTGTGATATTGTGTGTGTGTGTGTGTGTGTGTGTGTGTGTGTGTGTGTGTGCGCTGCATAGTGGGGATTAAGGGGTGTGCTAACCCAGACAATTGACTTCAAGGTCCAGTAAAAGCCAATAGGGGGGGTCTGGCTGGATGAAGTTAGATATACTGTATCTTGCTCTGTCAGGAGGCCACTATCACCACCACCGCCTGCCCCCCCACCCACAGCTGAGTTACAAAAGTCCAAGACCAGCAGACAGATTATGGTGAAGGAAGCATGACGTGAGGACCATTAATCATGTGTCTGAGCTAACATGATAAGTGCTGACAGATATAAACGAGTCGGCGCTCGCCGGCAGCCTGCGCAGGCTGCGAGGGTTTAACAAGTTGACTTCTGACCCCGACATGTTCCCAAGCCACAATATGATGAATCAACCTCGGACGACCCGGAGATGGAAATCTGTTCATACTACGCTGCGCGTGGGTTATAATGCCAGTTGTTACATGCAGTGACTGCCGCAGAATCAATAACAACTAGCAGACATGCACTGAAAGCTTTCCCTGGGGTGGTCACACTGCCCGTCACATTAGTCACAGCCAAAGCAAGGGGCCCTGTGTACACTATTGTTTTTCTTTAAAAGGTCACATATCATGCTCATTTACAGGTTCATACTTTGATTTGCGTTTGGGGGTTTCTGCAAGAACATGTTTACAAAGCATTGAATTCTAATGAGCCTGCATACGACATCTCCAGACAAATCTGAATGGCTTGTTGAATCACAGGTTTTCTGATCCAGGCAGCCCACAGTGGGTTGGTCCAGATACCCGAATGTCTCCTTTAAATCTATACCGTTGTGTTTGGAGATACATATTTGAATCTCCTATCTAGTCTAAGTCAGATGTGTACAATCTTTCACATATTCTTTTCAAATTGTTCTTATTTTTTTGTGCTTTTTCGAAAAAATGCAATCCAGTGACAATGAACCTTCTCACTTGATTATCAAAAAGCTGTGGCAAAGCTGTGACGAGAGGCAACCGAGCAATTATTGTTCTCAACTGATTGCACACAACATCTGCTCAGCTGTGATCCGCCATGCTGCAGTGATGTGTTGTAAACAGCAGAGGCGGCTGGAAAAGAACTGTAATCATCACACTTCTGAATCCTCGAAAGCATTTCTGTCTGTTCCTTTTGTTGACCATCATGCAGATACCAACGCTGTAGTGAGACAACGTACTGCATTGTTGACCACACTAAAACTAAACTCTTCATTACAACATTAAATATTTACTCACATTAGCATCACGATCTATAAATAGTAGATTTTGTATTTTGTAGTTTGTTCACAAGTTCTGCATTTGAATGAAAATATGAAAATGTAAATTGTTAGTTAATTGAAGGTTTGGGGCTCAATTCAAGCAGATTGTAGAGCGTGCAACAGTTGCTTGATTTTTGTTTAGAAGAGGGAGGTTTATATTATCAACAGAAAATCCACAAAAAAATCCAACTGGTGTGAAATGCAGCCGGGGGCTTGCTGTTTATCGCTCGACTTCAAAGGACTCAGAGTTCAGAAGTTTTGAATTCATCATTTACAAGCACCGAAAGTGGGTCACTTCTACATCTGTAACCCCGTTTTGAACTGCAAGATGAGAAATAACATTTTTGGGACAGAACCTGTCTCCCAGGGACCAAATGATTGCATTGCTATATCTTCCCCGGCGTAAGTTTAGACACAGAAAGCGAGTATACTTCACAGAGAACTACGATATGGCAAAGAAGAAAAAGGAAGAAGAACAATACAAAAAAAAAAAACATCCGTTGAAGTGCATTGGTGGTAAACAGTTTAAGACGGCAAACTCATTTTTTTTATGTTGTTCAAGACACTGTGCACTTTCTCTCAAGGAGACACTGAAGCAGAATTGGGGAAAGTATGCAATTAAGTCTAATCACTTAGCAAATCTTTTCAGTTCAGAGTTTCGTAAGGAACCAAATTAGGAAGAGATAATTGAGCCACTGTTATGTTTTGACAAGATGTGTATGAGCCAAGGCTAACTACACTGGACTATGTTGACATCTATATAGGAGACAATCCACTGTGTCTCTAAACTGGCAGTTAATCCTGTCGGAGTCTCAGTGACCAACATTAACCACAGCTTGAGCTAGGAATAGCTTAGGAGCGTATTTGGGAATGGGTTGGGAATCAGCTTACTGCTTCTCCTGCTGTTTGGAGGCAGGAGATAAGAGCGTAAACATTACTGCCAATCCGGACACAGAGCTACAATGCCCCCCCCCCCTTCCCCTCCTCCTTTCCCCCCCATAAGACAAGTGTGGTAACATCTCTGTCAGCGAAACATTTCTGCTTCTCAATGAAGGAACTGGAGACAGGAAATCAAGGACGGAAGCAGAGGACGAGGGGAGGGGAAGAGATGGAGGCGTAGGACACCGTAGATTATATTAGAAGCCCTATTCCTTCCTGTGCCAATCAAAGATAAAGCTGCCAGTCAAGACCACTGTTCCACTTCTCATTAAAATGTAAACTCGTTATATTCGGAGGGGAAGATCTCCCACTTACAGCTCCGATAAGGCTGCAGCTCGCAGCAGAGCGGAATGACTGGGCCCTGGCAGGGCCTGTGGTAGAGGAGACGGGTGTCAAAATGAATGAATAGAAGAAAAGAGGGGGGGTTGCATCTCTATCTGAAATGTGGCTTGACTGAAGCTTTTTTCACCCTTAGACAGGAAGAGCGTTGAGCTTTCCTGCTGATTACACCAGGAAAAGAAACCCAAGTGCTGATTTTACCCTATAAGGACATTTTTTGTTGTTGAAATTATTACATTTCAAGTGTCCTCTCTGACTCGGTTAGTCTCCTCACAACCACATATTGTCACAATCACAAAAGCATCCACAGAGGCATAGTCAGTGAAACAAATGAGTGCTTATTATCAAAGGACTTTGAAGCTGTGAAAGCCGAAGACGTATTTTGGTGTAAACTGGAATCATTTCTAACTTCTCACAGCGTTGAGAGTGATTTTTGGAAATATTCTTCCTCTTTCTATCTTTAACCCTGGCTCTCTTCAGTTCTGTGGAAATATGACCTCATTTAGTAGAAACTGTTTGCGTCTTGGTAGTGAATGGGAGACATTTAGTTACTGCCTTCCAGGGAGCAGTATTAAATCTCTCTCCCCTCTCTCATGGTATTGCCTATCATGAAAGCATAACTCACTGCATGAATTGCATTTGGCGTATCCATATCGCACCATGCTCTACATACTAGGCATCCGGCATGAATCTTTGCTTCGAGGGAATTTAAATGCATGCAAATATGCAAACACACAACATACACATGAACCACCAGTCTCTACAGGCTGACAGGCTTCTTGCTGCACATCCTTCGCCTGGCAGCTCTTCAAACGTATCCATTCCTCTCAGGAAACGTCTCTTTCCTGCCCCGCACGCAGACGGCAATCACTCAGGACCCAATAAGCAGAACCAGGCTGTACTGGATTCTATGGAGGCTCCAGACTGCAACCGTTAACCCTCCGTGGGTCCAATCAGCCCACTGAGCGACTGGACTGGATGCGTATGCCCTCCCCCTGCAGCTGGCCCCATGCTCTCGTTATGGACCTAATCAGTACAACCACAGCACTCGTCGAGACCGACCCGACAAGAGCGGGGGAAACATCCTCCACAGAGCGGGGCTCTCTCTTTGATATCATGCTAATGCCCAAATTCTAAATATTGTCATTTTCAGTGATTCAGCCGGGTTTCGTGAGAGAAATGGCAAGCTGTGTTTCAGACCCTCGTTAATCCAAAGCCCCCCGTGAATGCAAAACGCTCCACTTGGACAGAAGATTCTGGATGACTAATGTGAACACAGCCAATGGTCCAAAGCTGATTTGAAACACGGAGTTAGTACGGCCGACCCACCCATTCCAAAACACTCATCTAATTTGTAGCTGACACGCTTGCAATTGCAAGGATCAAGAAGAAAAATTATAAAATCACAAATTGTGTGAATGTGTGTATATTTGTGTCATTCCCCCCAAATATACCGCAGGTTCATGTTTGCATGCGTGTTTCTTACCAGCAGCAGCAGCAGCACCACGTCCGCATGGTCACACACACACGCTACATGCAGGGCCGTCCACAGGTCTTCGTCCTGGACGTTGACATTCAGGCCCCGATCGATCAGAAGCTCCGCCGCGAACACATTGTCATGGCGAGCACACTGCAGAATGCAATCACAGTAGATGTCCTTATTAGAAGTTTTTCAGAAATGTGCATTTCCTGAAGCATCGCTAACTATAAACAGTACACATGAGTGGTTCAGGGCATACTAATTAATGTGAAAAGGGTATTGTACAACAATATTAACAATTACATAGGCCTACGTGTATTGCCACGGGGCCTAAATGATAAATGATAAAAAGGCATGGAGAACAGCTATCGGGACTGCATTATGTTAGAGGACATCTCCGGGTTTTTGCTGCAACATTTTCTTAATGAATTGACATTTTCAAGTTTTACTTTTTGCACTTCTCATCAATTGGGGAGAGAGGAAGCTTCAGAATGAATTGGGGTACTGCAGGTACAAGTGTCTAAATCTAAATCCGCCAAACACGTGTGTACACATGGACACATCTGTGTGCAAAGAGTTCATTCTATATAGCTGTAACATCAACTGTAGATTAAAGTAATATTTTGCAGATTATGATTTTAGAGCTTCTTCTTAGATACTTCTACTTAAGTACAATTTTTGGGCAAATTAATCTTAATCAAAACATTCTCTACCTTTGTATAGTATTAGTGTGAGGGTCTGTACTTGTATTAATCAAACTGTGGGGACGAAAGACATTCATAAAAAAAAAAAAAAAGATAACCATTTAAGTGAAGGTTAAGATTGAATTTCTGGTTACCATTCGGCTTATATTTATGTAAGGGCTAGGACTGTAGCCGGTATGGTTAAATTTAAGGGTTAACTCCAAGGAATGAATGTAAGTCAGTTTAATGTCTCTTCTAATAGTTGTGTAACACTGTGTGTCTTACCAGGTGTAGCAAGGATCCCCCAGAAGAAGTGGGAGTGTTTTGGTCTGCTCCCTCCTTCAGGAGCCGCAGCACTGCAACACAACAAACATCCATAATGTTAATACCTGCTGGATGAGAAGACAGACGGGGCAAACAGTGAAGAAGTATAAACGCACACTGATCTGTGCCAGTCACTATCAAAACCGATGCGCCGAGTGTCCTCTGACTGTCCTTGACGTGTCGGCGTGGATCAGTGTTAAGGTTGTGTGTGTGTTGTAGCTCCTTGTTGCAGCAGCGGGTGAGAACGCTTCTGGGTTACACACATTCACATCACACGCTGTGAGCTTCAGTGAGCCGCACAACCCACTCACACGCTGACACAGATCGACTGAAGACGACACGAACCACTACGAACAAGTTCACGCACTCAGCCATGAGCGCATGAGAGGTCTGAAACCGGTCACAGTGATTCTACTCTATCACTCATATATTATTTATTCAACATGTACCAAAAATGAACGAGGCCCCGGCAGATGAGAGCAAGAGAGAGAGAGAGCGTGACAGATGAATAGAGCAGGATGGACAAACAAGAGAGGGAGGCGGCGCGCTGGGGTTTGGACATATGTGATTTCACTGACACCGACAGCAATAGGTGGGTACTGACTAAACCCCGGAAGACCTTCTCCCAGCAAAGCAGCCACCAGTGTCACGCAATCCCACCACATATACCCACACACACACAAGAGTGGAGTCTTTGAGCAAAGTAACCATGGTAATTACAGTGGTAATAATTCTAGCTAATTAAACCTGCTGATGACCCCCTTGAGGTCCTTTCACTTAAAGGGTCATTATGACGACAGGCATGCTTAAATAACCTCATCCAACCCTGCACACACACAGCCACACACACACATACAAAAAGCATGTTTTAAAACCAGTAGATGCTGGTTAATAATCTAAACACACTAATAAATATGTTGACGATCACTCATCTGTTGCCAAAATGTACTGTATACAGAGGATAACAGCTCATATATAACAGTATACAATGCAATACAACAAAACCACAATATGGCCTCAAAAGAATAGCATGTATTTCAACAAACACACACACTTTGAAACAGTCTAAATCGTTAAAATGTATGGCTAGTTAACCTGCATAAACAAGCTACAGCTGTTATACACTATATAGCATAAGTCACTCTGATCTTGATGTTAGAACCGGTTAATGATGTTATAGTTTATGTCCACTATGTCCGCTTGCCTTTTGCTCGAGTAGGGAGTTTGCCAGCTAAATGAGGTAAAGATTTAAATTTTACTTTTAGGATTAGTGTAACTTCACATATTTTTCAAGCGTGTATTAAAACAATATTCAGTAGTCCATATGAACATTGAAAGATATTCACGCTGGCTATTGGAAGAGATGGGAGAACAAAATCCACACTCCTGAGATTTTAACCAGGCCACATATCAAGTAGCAGGTCAGTACCAAGATGGATGCAAATGACTCTCTTGTCTAAAGCGGCTGAAAATGACAACCAATCTGACAAATACGTGGCATTTCTACAGTTAAAAATATGTTATCAGATCGTACAGTTTCATATCATTCAGTGATAAAATGTAGTATTATCCAAGAACGTAGATGAGGAATACCGTCTATAGGAGCAGCAGAGTGTATTTAGGAGGTGTTTGCAGGTTTACAGTAAAGAACGTTCGTCTCTGTTGTATTGTAGTTGAAACGGAAAAGGAACACCGGCCGTCATAGAGATGTTTATCTTTAGAACAGCTTCAGCATACAGCAGTCATTTTCTCTCTATGCTAAATCTTTATCTGTCAATTAGTGTTTGATTGTGCACCGAGTTCAGGCTTTGGTCTTGGAAGTGTGTGTGTGCACGCGTGTGTGTGTGTGGTGTGTGTGGTGTGTGTGTGTGTGTGTGTCCCTCAATCAGGAGGCTACTGATAGAGGAATGGGGAGTGGGCGCGAAGCAAAGTCGGCTGTCATTTTGTGGAAAATTGCAAAACAGCTGTTTGAGACGTATGTGGAGTTTCCATGGCAACCAGATAGGAACTGGTAGCAGAGTGGAAAAGAGAGAAGAAGAGCGGATGAGAGAGAGAAACCTATTGAAGATATGGATTGATCGGCATGTCACATACTACAGCAAAACTGCAGCTCAAAACTGAGAATTAGTAGTTTTACGATTCCTGACTGCTCACCTATCTATGCTGTTAACGTTAACCATCAGTGTGAAATAAAGTTTTACAGACGATCGTTTTCCGCCGATACTCAGTAAATATGCGACCAAGACATCGGTATTAATGCTTTTCTAGTCACTGATCACTGATAGTTATTGTAAACAATCAATCCATGTTTGAACTGAGAGGACGGTGGCAGCATCGCTAACAGCTAACGAACGAAGGTTCCATTCAGTTACATTATGATGCGTTCAGGCTCTGTTCAGTGAAAATTAGTATTGGGCAAAGGTAAATTATGACATTATCATGTTTTCACGTATAATCTCTTATAATGTAGTGTTGGTGAGAAACTATATTAAATACAGTTGTTTGAAGGAAATGTTTTCACAACAACAAATAAATATAAGAGATGAATTCTGACCTGTTTAACTTCCTAACACTAACTCTAAGCAGCTTATTATTAAAACTACTAATGACAAGATTTGTTTTAATCCATAAAAACACAATCTTACATTTTTTTATCATTTGAATTGTGTGTTTTTATGAAGAAAAAAAACTAAAAATACTATAACAGAGTAAAAGGATAAGAATAGGATAGAATTTTACACCGAATTCAGAGCGGTTTAAATGATTTTTGGGACATTGGCAAAAAAGAATATCCTGGAGCCTTGTAGACCAGCCGCTATAATCGAACAACAAAGGGATCTATATCTGCCAACATGGATCATCAATGATCAGCAGTTAGTATCGGCGGCAAAAAACGTAATCACGGATCTCTAAAAGTATTACTCTCCTTTCTCTTTTGTGCTGATCCGATCCGTGATCCGATCCGTGACTTTCATGATCCGTTGCACCACTAGTGATATTCCATGAATTCAATAAAATCCCTGTGATGAATCCTCCACTATATGCAATTTTCTTCATCTAGCGACCAGACGCTTTCGTCCCATCTACGGCATCGCTCCTCGACAGCCCCATATGAGATTCTGTTCAAATCCCTCACCCTCACCAATGCTCATGTCTCTTTGGCCCTTAATCACACAGTCATAGCCACAAGAGGCACCGTCTCACCTCGCTGCCCTATGTTTCTGAAATGAGCTTTGACATTTTTCCAAGGTTTCGGTCCTGATGAAAAAAGGCACCGGTACAGTCTTCCAATAATGCTCAACTCTAGATGTAGATTATCGTATGGTGAGTTCTGTAAGATGGAACTCTTGCCCACCTGTTCAGATATTAGACAATTTTATGGAATGCAGGTGCTAAAAGTCTGAAACAACACCATTTATTTACAGCATATACACCAGTCTGAAGTATTCCAAGGACTAATCTGCAAAAACCTTTTCAGAAATAATAACTCGCAACATTGTGTAAATAGCCTCAATGATTAACATGATGTGAGACAGTGAGTTCACAAAGTACTTTTATTTTTCATGCTCTCTCAGTGACGTTGATAGGTTTTCAACCGGTGCTCCTCTGAGTGGGTCCCCAAAAAAACCTGTACAACATAACTCCTGTTTGATGTTATACGGTTATTATTATGCTTATGTTCATGTGAAATATGAATTGGAATATTAAACAAATATGAAAACGAGATATATGCGGTAAGGCGGTAAGATTATGGCGGCCACTGGTTAATTTTCGAAGCCGAGCTAAACAGCGCTGCCAGTGAAAAATTTTAATATGCTGCCTGATGACGCAGTAAACATTATAGGGATCCCTGCTGTATCAGAGAGAGTCTTATGGTTTAAATTGGAGATATCATGACATCTTTCTCTACCCCCTCTGTGGGCCGAGGCCCCGTTCTGTCAAAAACATGACAGGTGTTTGGCATGCCTTTAATCCCAGCATGCTGTCACAGAGAAATATGAATGTATTCCTGTAACATCCATATTCACCTATTTCCCCCATCTCTCCTCTTCCCTGTCTGGCTACGGTGCCGTCCTGAGTATGTTTAGAGAATATAATTTCCTTTGATAGACACGCAACATAACAAAACATCCATCTCTGATCATTTAAACATTGATCCTGGTTAACTACTGAGGACAAAGGAGAAGTATGCGCACCAGTGTCACCTTGTCGCAGAATTTCTCTGAATTAGGAAGTATTTAGGGCTCAATTCAACGGGAAGAATCCCGGTTTTAACTACCAGAAAACATGCTGCTCTGTTTGTTAAGAAGCTTTGCTGCACTGATCTGATCTGGAGGCAGGGAGCGATCCACACATATGGCTGAACATTGTATAACACCAGACATGGTGTCCTTTTTTTAGCAATGTAATGATTCAGGTTTACCTCCGCGTGCTTCACTTCCTCACTATGGAGAACTGATTGGAGTCTGTGAGTCCCTGCAAGATGGATCTATACACACACCGATCAATAGTGGTAGTTCTGACGGATGCACTCGAGTGTGACACACATGCACACACTACATGACTTCACAGCAATAAAGCATTGCAACACTGAAACAAAACAAGTACAGCAATGTCAGACGACATTCTCGGAAATGTGATGCAACACTAGAGCAGACATGTGGCTTACTAGATGAGGTCTCAATGTTTAGCTCGAGAATACTTAGCAATGGACAGTTTTACCAGATGGGTTTTCAAACCACGCATGTGGCATCACAAGCACTTCCACGACGACGTGATGCAACAGCCGACTTTCGACTTAATGTCAACTTAGATTTACCTGAATTGCCACTCACCTTTCTTAAGCGTTTACAAATGATTTACATCAACTTTGAACAGTTATCACAATGCGTTTTGCCAGCTCAGTAAAGAACCAAAATATCACATTTAACATCTATATTCTGTAGAAAGTGGAAGTCATAATAAAAATAGATTGTCGGTTTCGTGGCTACAAAGCAACAGCTGCTGCCGGTCCACATGTGCCTTGTTTTGATGAAGTTTAGAGATTGGTTTGGGGAAAGCAATTTCACCAAATGTCAAAATGCAAGCGAGCCAGATGTTTGCATATGACAGATAGCAATGGAGAGGAAATATAGTATGCTCCTATCTAATATATATGGCTGTGTGCTCTTGGTCGTTTTTTCACCTAAAGCCTACAATATCCTCCCTAACCAATTTTTCATTTTCCCACCATGTTCAACTTGTCCTTTGTTCTCCACCCCGCTTCTCTTTACCTCACTCTCCATCTTATTTTCTGTACACTTCCTGGTATGGCTGTATATCTGTGATATCTCTGATTACCTGGCTGCCTTGTCAGCAGACTGAGTCTATCTGTGAATCTAATTCTCAAGCTCACTCACTTAAAACAGGTTTTAATTAGGACCTAACAAGGGTTCACTAATTCTATTTCCCTCTCGGCCTCTTTGTGCTCTTTTCTCCGGGTCTTATTTTGGTTAATCTTTTCTCTTCTGCACACTCATAAGTTCTTCAAAACAATGATGAGTCTCCCAAACGTCTTTCCGTCTATTTATTTCCATTGATCCTCACCAACTGGGGGAAAATGGTTTTGAAGATTAAAAACTAATCAAGTTGGCATGTGCACAGTTTGTTCATGATAACAGCAATGTTGAAGATATCGTTGTATCTCAGCTAACAGATACACATGTATGAGGAAACAACTTGCATCATAAAGAGGACATCAGCCCTCACATATATTTAATATTCCTGTTGTGGTCTGCTTTCCAGGCAACAGACTCATTGTCAATGAGTCAAATGCAAATCTTTTACTCTTTTACCCGACCCACCAGATTAACCCCTGGGCTCTCATTGCAATGAGTGTGTGTACACAATCCATCCTTACTTAAAATACCTCTGTAGTAAGGGGAAAAGATCCAGCAATGCTCACACATTACTCTGGGGAAGGTTCAAGCCTGAGGCAAATCCTATCACTCCGTCCAGAAGGAAAAGAGAGCTCACTTAAGCAGCAACGGTGAGAAAACCTATAAGCACTCCGCTAACCAGGACCAGTGAGGAAAGCTCGAGAACCTTTGTCAAGATAACTAAATGTTACGTCGAGGTTTGGACGGATCCACTCATGAAGAGATGGACGCTGTAATACGGCTGGAAGAACCAGACGGGCCAACAAGGGGGAACACAAATGGATCGTAAAGCTTTCAAGCCGTCCCTTGACTCAAGGAGTCTGTTAGAAATAAATGTGTCACTGTCAGGAGGTCTTCCCATACCAACGCAACTGTAGCCTGGTACAAGTTCACTGCCATGGCGGCGCCTGGTTGGTAGGTAGGCATTCGGCAGAATGGCAGATCTGATTGGTGCCAAGCCAACGCACCCTGGTTTCAGTCTGGCTGTTGCAATGGCGCACCAGCTGCTCCCACAGACCCCAGCTGAACCTCATAGGCAGCCAGAGAGCAGAGATTAACACACTGACCCGCAAAGGCTGCTGGTAGGAATGACACAGATACACCCGGACAGCTGGGTAAACAACTAGCAAATGACTGGCACAGCCAAAAAGAAAGACGGTGAGGTTGGATGAAAGAGGACCTTTTGAATCTTATGAGTTCATTGACTATTTGATCTTGCAGAAACAGCTGGAGTAATCCGGCGAGTATTTACTGGGAGACAATCTGCAGTCCTGCTTAGAGCCGAGGCCCGAGGGGAGATAGGAATGACTGACCTGAGGACAGCTCTCAAGACTTTTACAGGGTGAGTAAATGCATTTTCACTGTTATCTTTAATGTCATCTGCATTTGTAAAAAACTAAATCATTCAAGTACACCCAGAATAAGCGAGCTCCCATTTGTCTGAAACAAATGGCTGAATGGTTGAAACAATGCCCAGTAGTCATCGGCCCGGAGCTAATATTTTAACATGCTAATATTTGTTTTGATACATTATTTTGAGTTACAAATCTGAAAACACACAGGAAACCACAAACCAGCCAGGTCCAAAGAGTGGCTCTCAGCGGCTCTCTACAGTGGACATTATCATCTCCGCTGAGGTATTTCTGTCCTTGAGAGCAGTTAGTATAAAAGCTTCACTGTGTTCTCCTCAGTCGAGTGGACAGCTTCCAGCAGAACAAAGTGTGTGACCTGCGGTCAGAAGCTCTGTGTGTCCACTTGTGTGTGTGTGTGTGTGTACTGTAAACGCGCGCGCACACACACACACACACACACACACACACACACACACACACACACAC